GCTGGCTGGAAATAAAATTAAAAAAAGTTAATCAGTGTAAAAAATAAATAATATATACTTAGATCATATGTATATATTGTATATATATGATCTAAGTATATATATACACATATACATACACACACATACACCGTCTAGGTGTATTTTACTATTAATATATATATAATTATATATATATATTAATATCAAATTACACGTAGACTGATATTGATTATATATATATATAATTATTGTTATATATATATTTATATATAATATAAAAAAAATAAAAATGTAAATACATTAAAAAATAAAATTAAAAAAATAATTAAAAATAAATAATTAAAAAATATATAGATGTGTGTTCTAACCGTTCTAACTGTTTTGTGAAATTAATATATATATATATATATCAAAATACACGTAGAACGAAATAATATATATATCTATATACATAAATATATACGTATATATCACTATATATATACCTATATATAAATAAAAATATTTGTAAAAAATTATATAGATATATACATATATATACACATACGTATATATACATATATTAATTCTACATATATATTTATGTAATATTTTTACATAATTAGGTATCTTAATTAATTACAATTAGCAGGACCTGCCTGACAACCCATGCCGAAAGTAAAGGGAATTTAATTTGCTAGCACTATATTTAACCCTATAACTTTCCGAGACACCATAAAACCTGTATATGGGGGTACTGTTCTACTCAGGAGACTTTGCTGAACACAAATATTAGTGTTTCAAAACAGTAAAATGTATTACAATGATGATATCGCCAGTAAAAGTGACGTTTTTTGCATTTTTCACGCACAAACAGCATTACATGGACAATATTATTGCTGTGATACTTTTTACTGTTTTGAAACACAAATATTTGTGTTCAGCGAAGTCTCCCGAGTACAACAGTACCCCATCATGTACAGGTTTTATGGTGTTTTCAAAACTTACAGCATCTAATATAAGGCTTGTGTTTCATTTTTTTCACATTAAAATTAGCCAGATTGGTTACGTTGCCTTTGAGACCCTATGGTAGCCCAAGAATGAAAATTACCCTATGATGGCATACCATTTGCAGTAGTAGACAACCCAAGGTATTGCAAACAGGGTATGTCCAGTCTTTTTTAGTAGCCACTTAGTCACAAACACTGGCCAAAATTGGCGTTTTTTGCATTTTTCACACACAAACAAATACTAACGCTAACTTTGGCCAGTGTTTGTGACCAAATAGCTACTAAAAAAGACTGGACATACCCCATTTGCAATACCTTGGGTTGTCTACTATTGCAAATGGTATGCCATTATGGGTGTAAATTTCATTCCCGGGCTACTATACAGTCTCAAAGGCAAGGTAACCAATCTGGCAAATTTCAATTTCAAATGTAACGTGCTATATTTGACCCTATAACTTCCCAAAACGCCATAAAACCTGTACATAGGGGGTACTGTCTTACACGTGAGACTTTACTGAATATAAATATGTGTATTTTATTGCAGTAAAAGCAAACAGTATTATGACATTGACCGTTAAAATGTCATGTAGAACTAAAAAAATCAAAAAAAAACTTATTTTCTCCCATTTCTTTCATATTAAATTATGTTTCATAGCTAAATATTTGATACTAAATGAAAGCCCTGTTTCCCCTGAATAAAATGATATATAATAAGGGTGGGTGCATTTACTATGAAAGAGGTGTATTACGGTTGGACAGAAATGTAGCGCAAATGCCAGGTTTTGTTTACATTTAGTTTTGTTCACAATGTGTACATTTGGCTCCGTCCTTAAGGGGTTAACAGTGTTAACATTTTCTAAATGACTATTCTGGTTTGTGTGTATATTGCACAAACATTTAATTTTATTGGATTAAAAACTAAATTTTACAATTTAAATCAAAATATATAAAAATCCTCCTCTCAGCTATAGTTACAGCTTTGTTATGTTGGCCTGAATTCTGTAATTTTGATTTCTATTCAACACACATCATTCTTTATTGTCTCAATTTTGTCTTATTTATCATCCAGCAATAATGTCTGGAGGCTTTGGCAGCCATAATTGTTAAATATATTGTAACGGAGCTCCTTGTACTCCGACTGAGTACCCTCCGTTGATGGATGCTCCTAGCGCTTCCTGAGGACTCCAAGCAGTGCAGCAGACACCACAACCACCGCAGGCTCCGCAACCGCTGTATCTTGACTGGAGTCTCGCCGTCTTCCTTCCACCCTGGTTCAGCTTCTGTCCTCCAGGACTGTGTGGGAAAGAACACTTCTTTCCACCCTGTATGAACCTCCAGCATCCAGGACTGTGTGGTGAAAACCCCTCCTCCAAGGAGAGCATGTCAGGAACAAGCTCTTAAAAGAGCTAAGTGATTCAAGCTCAGAGGAGCATGCAGAGCATAGCAATCCCCAGTGTGATTATAACAGCTCCCTCCAATAACGAGACAAGGCTATGTTTAGAGAGATCAAGAAGAACTGTCTAAACCTTTATTTCCCTTGGGACCAGCCAATAGGGTCACCACAATAACATTGTTGTGAAACCTCAATAAAATCAAAAACAGTCAAACCATAGCAGGCAACACACAGTGAGTTATCACAACACAATGGCACATTTTTAAAGGGGTGGGGATAACAGTAAATATCTCACCTGCCTGCAGAATTGGCAATATGTAAAACTACCCAAATATGCAAATGAACCAGTCTTGCAATTCAGGTAGTGCATATTGCTGTTGCTACCAACAGAGGGCACTAGACAAGCTCCATAGCCAAACCCACCTAGTTGGTAGCAAACCTCAGCAGTACAGGAGAGCAGGCAATACATTTCACAGTACACACACACACTATAAACAATTACATTACACACACCCTGCACCTATAATGGGTACAGGGTGACTAAAACATAAGATAAATAAAGCAGCCTACATAAATAGTCTGTCTGAAGGTAGACTAGGGGCTTTAAAGCCAAATACATGAAAGAGTCATAGTCACAGGGGAGGAGGCTGGCAAGCAGGCCTCTCCAGGACCAAGTGGCGAAGGGCACTTCGTCACATATATATTACCTCTTAATTAAACAACTATTCTGCGAAGAAGAAATTGAAGTGCACAGAAGGTGATAATGCATATTTCCCACTTGAAACCCAAACATGCCTTTGATTCAGGAGTTTTAAGTTTAATGGTGAATGCAACTTCTTAAGTCTTCTTTTAACTGAATATCAAGGTGAGGGTTAATATAGTGGTATAATCGAAGAAGCCATGAGCGGAAAAAAAAAAGACAAAAGAAAAACCTGTTCCGTTAAATGAAAACCGTTTTTTTGTTTTTGTTTGTTTTTTTACTATGATTATTATTATTATTATTATTATTATTATTGCTGACCATAAAAGATTACAAGTATTATAGCCTTAGTGTGCTGTATTTACTTATGAATGCATATAGGATATATTTTAAGTCTATCTTTTGACTTAAGCTTGCTCCATTGTAGAAGTCATCTTTAGTCAGAAGCACAACTTATTTGTTAAGATCATATGTAATTTGATGGTGTTAAATTGTCACAGAGTTCATTTCTGGCATACCTGCTACTTGTGCGTGGTGTCAGAATTGATAAATGCAGAGTAACATCAGATTGCCTGTATGTTCTTAGGTCAGATCAGCATTACTTTTGACCAAAAAGGACTTCGGACCAAAGCGGACAAAGTTGTAAAAAAGAGAACAGACTACCAAAATATTCATTATTCATTATTATTCATATAAAACAAATAGAATCCTAGTGATTTAACCCCTTAAGGACCAAACTTCTGGAATAAAAGGGAATCATGACATGTCACACATGTCATGTGTCCTTAAGGGGTTAAAGGTTACAAATAGGTCATTTGGTGCAGTTATGACAAACTTTGCACTACATATTTTTGTAAAGTCAGTTTGCTTTGTATTTTGCTGGCATCTGCTGGCAACTTTATCCTAGGGAGCAAATACAAACAAATGGTCTCTTTTTGTAAATCAACCTAAATTATTCCAGATCCATGTAAATATTTAAGTGGGACATTCCAGGCCCGAAGAACATTGATATTTTAGGCTACCAGACCAATGCACAAGGTTAGCTCAACAATTCTTACATGCTGTCTCATTCCTGCAATACTAAATTCACAAACCTCTCCAGTTGCTTTTAATCAAAAGACATATGGGGCTGTGGGGTTATGACCTTGTATGCTAGTGGTCCAAGGGGCAATTGCCCCCTCCTTGCTCTAATTACATATTTTAATCTGAAATATCATATCAATTTATAGTGTGCCCTGTGTGACAAGCTTGCATGACGGCAACATCTAAAAAAAGTTAGAACGTCCAACTATGCACATTATTGGAAATGTATTATATATAATCAGTAACATAAGTGTATGCACATGATATCTTGTTCAAAGGAAATTGTTCAGGTATTGCTCCTTCTTGCTTGCTAAATCTTTTTGGCAGACAATAGCTCTTATAGAATGCACGGATGAACACCCTTTGCTTCATAAAGATTGTTCTGACCTACATTTGTAAGAGATGTCAAACAACAAGCGTGCTAACACACACAATGAACATGCACCTTATAATCTAGAGCAACACTGAAATCTAGTCACAGGAACCTATGACTTAGGAGTGCTGACTTCACTCCTTTTGGATATCCACAGGCCTGGAGTAAGCAGCCTTTGGGCATATTGTACAGAGCTTGGGATGGCTCTGCAAAGTGTGAGTTATATTCCTTCTTTCCATTTTATATTATAACTTAAACAAATTACACTAAAGTTATTCCATTTTGATAAAACCCTAGTGGTGAAACGCGTTAATGGTTTTAAATATTGTGTAATTTATGTAATAAATATATTTTGGCTAGATTTCAGTGCCATTACCTTATTACACACTATTTTATGTTCCTGGCATTTGAATCATCTTTTAACACTTATCCTAAGGTGGGGATTATACCACCAACGCTAATATTAAAGTGCAGTGCCATCTGCACTCCATTTGTGAGTATATTTTATTCTATTTTATCAAATATTACGTCACATCATCAGAGAGCACTATTTGCTGTTTTTATTCTCCCCTTCTCTTGAGAATTGGAAATCACTATCGTCTGGAGGACAAGCACCCACATATCCTATAAGCAGGGATAATTCCGCCGTATGCCTGTTACACCTGAGCTGGCTATAGCTCATTTACATGTGAGTGTTTAATTTATATTTTAATATATTTATTACGTATTCCATACACTCTGCACGATTTGTCCTCTCTCCTTGTGTCTTCCATGTCACGAGACGATTTGGACTACTAGAGACCTACCTCAGATATTTTATTGGACTTTTTTTATCGAATATATACTTTTATATTTTATTGTATTTTTACTCTTAATATCTCTTATCTCGTCGCAGCCTTTCTTTCTCCTTGTTGTACACTTTAAACAGAGAGGGTGAGAGGGTTACCCTCTGTAAGGTTGCTGCCTACCCATTGTATTATTAGCGCTGACCTACCCTTTTTTATCTTTCTGTATTGTGTATTTTTTACTTTATAGAAATCCAAAGAGGGAGAATTTCTCATACTGTGCGTAAGTTCCTGTTCATAAGCATATTTCAGTGTCGAGTGTATGTCTATTGTGTGTGTTAGCACGCTTGTTGTTTGGTATATTAACCATAGGTGTTGGAAAATCCCCTTTTGTTATAAACCACACGGTGCACTGCTATTCAATTTGAAGCTCCTACATACTTCTTTATTTTATAAGTCAGGGATGGACTGATTTCTGATTCTTAAAGTGGAACTCCCACTTCTCAGGATTTTTACTATTATGCTTTCTTATGACTATATTTAACACATATGTATTTAGAAGGTGTGAAATATAATATTAAATGTAGAAATTCACACCTTTTTTATCTTACAACTGTACGCCTCCATCTTTTAATCATTGTTATAAGCTCTGTCCTTTGTACCTGGCAGTCAATATAGAAAAAAAATTAACTGGACACATCATTGAAAGCTGACTGAGGAAGCCACTATTGGCGAAACGCGTATTGGCTTACTATTTACCACTTATATTTTATTCTTCTATATTTTATTAATATTTTATGTATATTTTTTATAATAAAGTAGTTTTTTTTTTTGCTACCCCATCCTCTGGATCCTCTTCTATTTATTGGAGACCATACCAGCCACAGAAGGGTTAAGGATCACCCTACAATAGATCCAGAAGCCATCTATACCAGAGCCAGGTCCCTTGGCTCTGATTTTGTGAGTGTTTCCTTGCACCTATTGCACTTTAATATATATTGTAAACGATCTACACTATTTTGTATATCTCTCTATCTCCACAGCAATATATTGGAGAAGAGGAGAGAACTAATATTGCTCCATCCACTGTGTTTGTATTGTATGTACTTTTTTGTGTTGGTATAGGGGATACCACACGGGTGTTTGAGCTATTGCAGTCACCTACCGTGCCATTTGCTGTATTTGTGATAAATATAGAAAAAGAATACAGAGAAAATGTTCTACGTCTCCTCTTTATTTGCAATGTTTGTCCTGACTTTGCCATTTTTGAACTGGATTATGATGTGATTTGCTAAATCTTTAATATAAATTTAAAAGCAAATGGATCATTTAATAAAAAATTTTAAAAAGTTAAAGGTGTTTTTTTTCAATGTTTTGTTCAATTAAGAGACAGTTCCCACTTAAGCTAATTATTTTATTGTAATTGCCTTCTAAAAATAGACAATTTGTTTTTATTTCCTTATTTATTAACAAGATCAGCTGTTTAAAGTTTAAAGTCCAACAGTTCAAGCCTTGATCGCCCAATAATTCCACATGCAAATCAGTAAAATAAGCAAGCTGAAAAGTTTATTTGGAAACAATGTTCCATCTTTTCCAAGTGTAATTTAAGTCTTAGAACAAGCACAGCTCACTATCAGGCCTGGTAAAGCTCATGCCATCATCAATAATTATTTGGGATCAAAAAAGAAAGGAGGATTTCACGATAAACAACGTGAATAAGATAAGAGAAGGGAAAAAAATGATTTAGTAATAGGCAAGGGAAAAGAGATAGATGAAGTTGGCCTCTTTCCGGAGAGATTTTCCATCATCGATCAAAGAAAGGTAAAAACTTTGAGTATTGACTTTAAACTCTTCACACTTTGACAGCTGCTAGCATTAACCTCTGATACAAATGGAGGTCGAAGTAAGATTAGCATTATTGACAAGTACTGAACACTATTAAATTATGGCTGGATAAATAAATGATATTAGAAGTACTTAGTCTATGCAGTACGAGTGATAAATCTATTGTATAGTGTAGCAGGGAGATCCAGTCCCCATAAGTTTGGCATACTAAAAGCTCTCTGCAATAGGTTTGGCGCCATAATATAGGTATGATAGATATTAAATGGATTTTTTAATCATAATGTACAAAATAAAACCGTGCCAAATAAGGGAACATGTCTCGTAATACAGGTGCTTGATTAAAAATGCACCTTTGTAAAGGGAAAAATATACTTATGTGTTATTTATCAAAGTCTTAAAGATGCACGTCTGAGACGAATGAAATGTAAACAGTCCCATAACAATAGCACAGAACAGTCCACTTAAAGGCATTGTTTTCCATTTCCTCTAATAGTTCTAGTGTTGTTCTAAAACACTAGTTAATCTCTATATGACCAAAGATATACGAGTTATTGATTTCAAACTCTGGTGGTGCTCTTTTCTAGATTCCTTCATTTGTCAAGCTTAATTTTACACTTATAGTTGTAAACGATACTGCTTATAATATATGAAGTGCTTAATGAAAAGAAAAAAAAATAGTAGAAAACTAAGCATATATTATTAATACAACATCTAACTGGAATCAGGATAAGTTTCCGGAAAAAAAGTAAAGATGTTTTGGGGAGCAATTGAGTATAAGTAAAAGGTATTTTTGGTGTTTTTAGGCAGGTTTTATAAAAAGAAAGAATAAACATTTATTTAAACAGTAAGTTATTACATGCATATGTAACATTGCTAAAATACCAGGCTAGACCTTTGGGGGATGTTTATCAGGGCAAAACAAGTGGCATTTTGGGTACAAAGAGCTTAATGTACTTTGCCCGAGAATATTGCCTGTTTGTCCTTGATAAATCTCCCTATAAGTGGTCTAAATCAGTGGAGCCTGAATCAGACCCATGTCACCTTGTCAAATATTTACTGAAGATGGGATTTTGGCTTTGTGTACCATAGATAGCAGGGCAGTGATGGCTAATTGTGGAGCCCCATTCCCATTATCCTCAGTCATCCAGAAATATCTCAGGTGCCAAGTTTAGCAATTACTGCTCTGTCGGTACGTTCTAAGATTTTTTTTTTTTTTTTTTTTTTTTAAAAACCCTACCTCATAATTAAGATGAAATCCTGCACACAATTGTATTTCCTCTACCACAACTCTAACAATCAATATATTACTGAAGCATTTTCCAGGTTTATTATCTGAGAGTTTCAGACACAAAAGGTATGTAGGCAATAAACCTGTCAGTGCACTTTTTTATAACTAGGAATGAGAGACTACATGCCATGAAATAAAATGTGTAAGGCACTTTATAAAAGAATGAGAAATGTGTTTTTATACAGTACTTAATAATGTAAAAGAGAAATGCTATGACTTGGAAATATTTTTATTTTTTTTTACCCTGGATTTGTTCATCTAAATATTACATATTAAACATGTATTAGATTAATCTGCTGTATGTTTTTGCCTTATATGCAAACAGGATTAAAATGCAGGTGCTGGAAGAGTTGTGTTTAAATAACTCATTAGATAGACTGCCTGACTTCCTGCTCACCTGCACTATGCATCCTTCTTCTAGTGACATACAATTGGGATAAGTGGAACACTTACTGTAATGATGATTGTAACCTGCAAGCTACCCCAGCTGTGTGAACTGGCATTGAAAATAAAAAAATATATTCCCAGTGACAGCCTTAACCCTCTCTCTGCTTTGAAGGAAAAAATGCATGCAAGTAAACTTAATGTATGCTTAGTGCTGTACAACATGTGATAAAAAAAAAATATAAAGGCTATTTTATGTCATTCTGTTGATAGTGGGGTTTTTTAATTACCAAACATGCAGGGTGTTTAATAGCAATGGGGAGGAGAGGTGTAAAGAGTTCTGCAGAGATCAAAAAGTATAAAAATCTACACTATTTTGGTCATTTTCTTGGACAGGTGGTAGTTAAGAATATTTTAAGTTAGGGAACCAGATAAGACTAATGGCATATAATTGTTTCTTCTTTTGTTAATAATTACTACACTTTATTTTGTTTTCAGTTTTATATTTTGTAGTATGAGAAATTTTCACAAAAAAAATAAAGAACTCACCATCTGACTAAAACTAAAATACACAATAAAATAATGAAATTTATTTTTTTAGCAATTTTATTAAACATCTCTCAGTAAACCATGTTATATAAACAATTAGTGTATGTCTAACCCTTTTAAATTAGCAATATAGGGGACTATAGTACCTAATCTTTTACGTATTATATGTAGAATAAAGTCTAAATATTTACTGGGCTCCGATATCGGTCTCTCAAAATGATGTAAGCTACAAGTAGATAAGTATACTATATTTAAAAGAAGAAAAACTATAACAACAAGAGGACATAGTCTTAAATTAGAGGGGCAAAGGTTTAAAAATAATATCAGGAAGTATTACTTTACTGAGAGGGTAGTGGATGCATGGAATAGTCTTCCAGCTGAAGTGGTAGAGGTTAACACAGTAAAGGAGTTTAATCATGCATGGGATAGACATAAGGCTATCCTAACTATAAGATAAGGCCAGGGACTAATGAAAGTATTTAGAAAATTGGGCAGACTAGATGGGTCGAATAGTTCTTATCTGCTGTCACATTCTATGTTTCTATGTTTCTATGTTTCTAGATTTAAGTCATTTGCCAGATGTTGCTGCTACTTTTAAGTGAATAAAAAGATGTTCAAGGTTCTGCTCAACACCTGTTTTCATTGTATGCAAAGTTCTGAGGACTAGTGCAATAGTTCTGTCTTGTGTTCATTATAATTGGATGTTGAGTGTGGTTTTAGTGTTGTCTAACATGTTGATGAGTTTGTTTTTCATATTTCGTTGTTTTCATTTTTTTCTTTGCTGTTTACGGAAATGAGTAAGCCAATCCTAAGCATAATACCAGCATTTGTCTGAGTATGGTTATAGAAATTCTTTTTTTTTTTTTAAGTGAAATGCATGTGATAAAAAGATTGCAGAATAACAATCAAAATATCCAGACAATGAAAAATATACTGCTTTCATATAAGTGTAAGATGTCCAAAAGGTACTTTTGACACAAGTCGTCACTTTGCACTTTTTACCTTCTCATACAAACAGAAAGCAAACGTGCTTTTAAATATTTGGTTTTACCGAGACTTACTATTAACATATAATTTTAAGGATGTGTGCAAATGTTGGTGTGAATATACTATAAAGGATTAATTATGTTTCTGAAGATCACTTGTATCTTAAAATGTCAAAAGGAAATGCATGAGTAAAGAACAGTTGTTTGACAATCATTTGATTAATTAAAACAGCTTTTTACCACGTATAAGGAATTATCACTTAAAAAAAATAAAAATAAAATGTGAGGCCATCAATTCATCAATGTGTAATGTATTTGAGAAGTTAGTAACCAAACCGGAAATATCCTAAAGATCAATTTATTATCGACCCGAAAAACAAAGTAGACTTGTATTATTCTTATTAATGTCTTGTCCTGGGTATTGAAGAGATTAAATAATTGCCCTATTCCCGACAATAGGATTCCAGGCCAAATGTTAAAAAAGCGTAAGATGCAAAGTTATAAAACTACGGCCAAGCCTTTATAAATTCCATAAGTGAACATTATCTTATCCAGCTGCTGGTACTAAGCTGAGGTTATGCAAAAGCCATTATATAATGACCTCTAAAATGCAGAGTATGTTAAGAGTGTTTAGACATGGGCTGAAAGTGCCACATACTTCCATTACCACATTGTTGCACATGCTAAATATTCATTAATCTAAATGCCACAAGAGTAATTTAACTAGCAGTGCCACCTACTCACTTCAAAAGGGCATTGCACGAAGACCATTTTGTTTTGCTCTTAGAAAATATATTTTCTTAGGATCTGTTTATTGAACTTAACCAAGCAAGCATTTTTGAAGAAGGAGAGTTTGCAGCGAGCTGATCCCTAAATGTATAACGTGAAAATGCCCAAGATATATAAATACCAACTTTTTTTCTAAAAGAAAAGTTCAAATTCTTCACATCAGGACAAAGTCCATGTTTCAAAAAAATGAATTCAGAAAAATATACTAGAAACTGATATTATTCTTCCATTTTGATATTTAGGTTCATAAATTCAGTTTTCAGCTGGTAAATATTTTCACATTTTGGGAATTCACATAGTATCTCCTAAAGGGGCACATTAATTTAAAATTGGAAAAATGCCTTTATATTTCTCTATTATTCTTTGTAGTCCTATAGGGGACTCTTACATGCGCTTCATATAGTTTTGACATACAATAATAGACCATATATAAACTGGGGGAAAAATCTAGAATGAGTCAAAGCTGTCTTTGTAGGACACTGTGAATATTCTGGATACAATGGTGCAGTGCAACAAGGTGCAAAGATGTAAAAAGGGCAGAGTCACCATCATTGCACCCTGTTCAACTGGTTTCCATGGTGATTGCCACACTTTTTCTACTTTATATCATACTCTACATAACATGTTTTTTGCATAACCCCTGATATTTCAGAGTTGCTGAGCATAGATCTATTTTCATGAATATGAAACTTTTATTATTTTTTATTACCTGTGTTTGAGATGGACTTGTGTGGAAGTAGTGGAGAGTTGTATGTAGTACTCCTTTTTTACACCCCCTTTACATCCCAATAATGCGACATGAGACATAGTTGGTGAAAATAGGCCACAACAATTTTTAATTAAAATATTTTGCCAAACGATATTACCAATACTTTGTATCAAATATATATAATCTTTAATAATTTGAACATCAAACAATATAACTTAACAATACAACTTAACAAGGTTCCATAAACATCCGTCCTTGCCAACCAATTATCCGTAACCTTGGAACTCATCTGGGCACTTGCCCTCCCCCTTGTCCCAACCAACACTGGCCACAAAACCTGGCCTTCCACCAACACCATGCTAACCAGTAGCTGACCATTGGCTCAGTGGGCACGTCCTCAATAAACCATACCTTAACTTCATCGAAGCTAAGGGAGGGATCAGCCCCACTTTCCTTCACTCACATTGGACCCCCCAGTCCAACCCACGTTTGGCAAGGACAACCACCCACCACAAGACCCCGCTGTTTTACCCGCTAAAATAAGTGGGGGTGACCACCCATAAAAGCCATGGCTTGTTCCAAGCCTTCTTGCAACGCCAAGTTAAAAAAATCCAAACCCACATCAGTAAAGTGAACCCCAACACCCCTAAAGTACATAGCTGTTTCCCGTTCAAACACGCAATGCCGCTCACATTGCTTGAAACCAAACTCTATTAAGTAGACTCTTTCAAGAAGGAGTTAGAAAACCAGGAGTTCATTGGAGAGTGCTTTGTATACTGTGGAGAGTGATTTGTATTTTATTTTTGTTTAATTTGATTTATTAGCTAAGGTTTTTTAAAAAGTTTTTATTTTAAAGTTTTTCCCCCTCCTTTGTGCTGCTGCTTGATTAATTGGGGGGAGTGTTCATTAATTTCCACCTGTATGGGATTTGTATTCCCATATAAGCACACCCCTAACTCACTGAGCTTGCACACATTGCTTGAAAAGCAAAAAAAGGGAAATCAGCTATTGGTTGGGATATGTTATAAACCACCTAATGTTAATAGTAATGAGGAACAACAGCTGTTTGAGCAAATTGAGAATACTGCAAATCTGGGTAACACATTAATAATTGGAGATTTTACCCGGACATAAATTGGGACAGAGGGACCAATAGCTCAGCAAAGGGAATTAGGTTTTTGAACTTGTTAAATGACACCTTCATGTCACATCTTGTACAAGCACCAACTAGAAAGAATGCTTGTTTGGACATGGTTCTAACAAACAACGGTGATCTTTTGACCAACATTCAAGTAGGTGAGCACTTGGGAAATAGTGATCACAATATAGTGTCCTTTGAAATAAACTCAAAAAAACAAAAGCACACGGGGTATACTAAAACATATCATTTTAAAAAGGCCAATTTCTATAAGTTAAGGGCAGCTTTGCAATATATTGACTGGCATAAACTATTTAGTGAAAAGAACACTGAGGATAAATGGAACATCTTATCAATATTAGAAAGGTACATTTCTCAGTATGTACTATTGGGTAATAAATATAAAAGAAACAAATTTAAACCAATGTGGCTTAGTAGAGAAGTAAAACAAGAGATTAAAAATAAGAAAATGGCATTTAAAGCATTTAAATTAGACAAATCAAATGTATCCTATAAAAGATATAAGGAAGCCAATAATCAATGCAAAAAGGCGATTAAATTCGCTAAACTTAAAAATTAAAAAATTATAGCCAAAGAGTGCAAAACCAACCCCAAAGCATTTGTGATGGACCCTCCGTCAATCGATGCTCCTAGTGCTTACCAAGGACCATCAGCACCGCACTAGACACCATCAGCACTGCAGATCCCATGAACCGCCACAGCTTGGCTGGTAACTCTACCCACCCTGAACCTACGACAAGGCTCCAGGTTCCAGTGGGTGAACCTCTCCTCCAAGAGAGAGTAGCAGGAACAAGCTCTTAAAAGAGCTTAGTGATTCTAGCCCAGGGGAGTATACAGAGTATAGCAATCCCCCATTGTAGATGCAGCCTTTTCCCCCACACATGAGACGAGGCTCTATGTTGAGGGTAAAACAGGAACTCAGCAGATCTGAGGGTTTATTGTCTTTTATACAGTTTTGGCCACAAAGCTACCACCCAGGTGGACCTTGAGGAGCACAAGACCCTTTTTAGTTTAGTAAAACATCGCCTGAGAGGTGATATGATAACATTCGGGGCCAATACAAACCATTGTGTGGAAATCTATTCAGAAACCGAACTTTACATAGGACACAAGGTCATGCGTTTAGACTGGAAAAAAGATGATTTTGTCTAAGGCAAAGAAAAGGTTTTTTTACTGTAAGAACAATAAGGATGTGGAATTATCTGCCTGAAGAATTGGTCTTATCAGAGTTCAAAGAGAATTAGATGCATATTTGCAAAAACAGAATAATCAAGGATATATTTTTCAATGTAGGGTAATAGCTGCTTGATCCAATGATAAATTTTTTCCTAGTTTGTTGCAAAATTGGAAGTGCTTCAAACTGTTTTTTTTTTGCCTTCTTTTGGATCAACAGCAAAAAACAAATGTGAGGAAGGCTGAACTTGATGGATGCAAGTCTCTTTTCAGCTATGTAACTACGTAACTATGTAAAACCCCCAACTCCCAACACAAACGTAGAAACCCGTCTATTGAGCTTTACCCGACACCGATCCATGGCCAAATGATCCCTATCAAACCTCCAATAATTATTGGACACAAGCTCAGATCACACCAGACAGATGTTGAGAAACAGCACATAAATACTGGCACAGATCGTAGCCCCCAAGATGAACGATCAGGAACTCCCAAGAGATGGGACAAGCGGTCCAGCTTCGGAACCAGCTGCACCCACCACATACCACAGACACCAAACCATCGCACTTCTGCCATTGGCGGGGACAGAACCAGTTGACATAACCCGGGGTGGACCATGTTCCTCTGCTGGGCCCAGTAGATGTACGAGTGCCCAATCACCCACACACGCCAGGATTTGGAGACACAACAGGGGAAATTGCAATCAGACCACAGGGCCAAACGTATGAAAACATGTCGGCGGGTAGACCACCCACCCTGAGATGCCCTGTAAAACGACACATGCTGCAAGTCCCAGCACATCCGTCTTAGAACAGCGGATCAAAAAATGAATTGATGCAGCCTCGCAGTAAACATCCTGATACCAAACACCCCCTGGAACCCGGTTAGATGGGCTAACCAACTCCCAAATCTGAAGCACCCCAAAAAAGGCAAGAGAAAAAGTGAGCCGAAAGAGCACCACCTCACAACTGGAAAAGCAAAAGAATAAAAAACAGACCCAAAAGCAAGGCCCCGGACACGGGCCTGTGCGAAATTGGGGCCCTATGGGCTCTCCTCAAACCCTCTCATTGCCCACACGACCATCACGTCCTTAGTGACATCCGGAACCCTGAACAATTTGACCCAAAAACTGATTGTTTAGCCTTGACCAAAGCCGGCAAGCACCCAGAAGCTCCCCAAAACCAGAGGAGCTGAAGCAACTGAAAACGGAAACCCACGACAGCCAACCAATCCCCCAAAGCCTTACCATAATGGGATCAAGTAGCCTCAGAGACTGATGCCCAAATCCAAACTGCTACATGGTCTGCCCAAGGGACCACAGTTCTGTCGGGCAGGGGAACCCATCTGCTTCTTGGGTGTGGCTACACGAAATTCCTGCCACTGCAAATGAGAGAAGGAATCCGCTGTAACCTTTTTGACCCCAGGAATGTGAATCACCCTGCAAACAATATTCAGCAACAAACAGCACAACACAAGTCGATGCAGCAGCCGAACCACCGAGGGGGAAAAAAGCTAGAACCACCCCCAGATTATCACAATGGAAAGCAACCCTGCAGTCCTGCAGCAACGATCCCCACAGCTGATTGTTTAGCCTTGACCAAAGCCGGCAAGCACCCAGAAGCTCCCCAAAACCAGAGGAGCTGAAGCAACTGAAAACGGAAACCCACGACAGCCAACCAATCCCCCAAAGCCTTACCATAATGGGATCAAGTAGCCTCAGAGACTGATGCCCAAATCCAAACTGCTACATGGTCTGCCCAAGGGACCACAGTTCTGTCAGGCAGGGGAACCCATCTGCTTCTTGGGTGTGGCTACACGAAATTCCTGCCACTGCAAATGAGAGAAGGAATCCGCTGTAACCTTTTTGACCCCAGGAATGTGAATCACCCTGCAAGCAATATTCAGCAACAAACAGCACAACACAAGTCGATGCAGCAGCCGAACCACCGAGGGGGAAAAAAGCTAGAACCACCCCCAGATTATCACAATGGAAAGCAACCCTGCAGTCCTGCAACAACGATCCCCACAGCTCCAAGGCCACCACTATTTGGAACAATTCGAAAAACGCAAGATTCTTTGTGAGGCCCAACACGTGCCAGGCATCCGGCCATGTATCCGCACAGTGGGTGCCCAATACAGCTCCAAGTTCTACCGATCCTGTCACGTCAGTGAGCAAGTGCAGTTCGGCATTGGATACTTCTGGCACCTGCCAATAGGACTGCCCGTTAAAAGCCACCAGAACGGCATCTCAGACTGCCAGATCCTATTTTAAGGGGAGTGTCAAATGCCCAAAATGTCGAGGCCTGGGCAGGATGTGACATGCAATCTTAAACTTTCTTAACAGTGCCTGCAGCTGGTGCAGCGGAATCTTCCTCATGCCCAATGCCGCTGCCACCCGAGCGTGCAAATCCTCCACCTTATCCGCCGGGAGACAACATTCCCACCAAGTCAAGTTTGATGTCAAGAAAGTTCAAGCAAGTAGTTGGGTCCACAGTCTTGTCCGGGGCCAACGGCACCCCGAATGACTCTGCCACCAACTGCACCGAAAACAGCAGCCGCATGCACCTCCCTGAAATCCCTGGACCTATGTACAAAGATATCATCCAAAAAATGCAGAACGAAGTCACAGCCTGACTCCATACGCACTACCCATTCGAAGAAGGAACTAAAACACTCAAAAGAGAATTAAAAAATTGAACAACCCATCGGAAGAAACACGTCAAGAAAGAATTGACCAATAAAGCAGCACCCCAAGAGATGATGGCACTCTGGATGTACCTGAAGCAACCAAAATGTGGCTTCAATGTCTGAGTGCCCCAGGACAAGTAGGTGATGTCATCATTCGCTGAGCCCCAGAAGGGGTACGAGAAATGGTGAATCAGTTGTAACTTACCCGCTTCTTTTTTGGGGACCACCCCAAGAGGGGAGACCCGGAGGTGCGGAAATGGAGGCACCCAAAAGGGGCCGCCGTACGCCCCAACAACACTTCCTTCATTAGCTTCAAAGTAGGTAAAGGTTATTGCCTAAAGAAACATGTATGAAAAACAATATGTTCCATTTCTAACACCTTGTCAGTTTGCAATATCTCTTAAAGACAAAGTACACAATTTGAGAAATACAATATTAGCATTTGCCCATAACAACGCCCTCCAAATTGTTTCCTGGTAGTAGAAGAGGGACGAGCACTTGGCAGGAGCCTTCTCCCCTATGACACTGGCCAGGATAGAAAAGGTCCGAATCCAGTTACCAAACGTTTTTGGAATTTTCAGAAAGCTTTCTCTGATTTGTTAGCATCCTTGTCCGGGGGAAGGTAAGTCCTCTAACAGGAGCAGCCCCAACCTATCACTCTTTCGTTTACTGATTTAAATTCCAAATGAAATGTATAGAAACTGATATTTAAGTTAATCTGATATTGGAGAAGCCTAAGCAGAGGGAGAACAGAATATGTTTAAAATAAATATGACATTATATGAATATCATGTATGTAAGGAGGAGTGTCTGAACTATTTACCTGAAGTATAAAAGTCACAGAATGGAAATATAATGCACGCATAATAGTTACACACAGAAGTCACTGGAACACTGACAGACAGACTCTTACTCATTTGACACTTACTGACTCACACACACCTACTAAAAGACACACACACTCACTGACAGACACACACACAATTGCACTCAGAGGACACTGACACATATGGTTACATACAGGGGACAATGACACATTTACACACAGAAGACACTGACACACGGACAATTAACACACAGATGACACTGACACACACATTTACACACAGAGGAAATGTATACACAAACGTACACACAAAGGACACTGACACACATATATTCATTGATAGAGACACACACTCACTGACCGGTACACTCACTGATTTAAAACTCACTGACAGACAAACCCATTAACACACAGTCTCACTGATTTGACACACAATGACAAACACATGCACTGACACATGCCCTCACTGACTTGACACATGCATTCACTTGCAGACACACATTCACTGACAGACACACTCACTGGCACACACTCTCAGTGATTGGACATACACATTTACTGGCAGACACATACACATTCTTAAATTGTTTATTTTTTTATTTGAGTCTATCCAGCCGCCCTAGTTTTGGCAGAGATAGAGTGGATCCTTTCCCTGGGACCCAGTGGACATCATTTCCCTGGGGTCAAGTGTGAGGCTTGTGTAATATTTGTGCTCTTTGAGATCTACTCCTTTGTGCGCTGTTTAATGATGCTGGAGTGATGTCACAACTTGGCTCCTGGCATCACCACAGGAGGGAGCAGTGCTGGAAGATAATGAAGATTACAGCTCCATCGTTGACACTGCTCCAGTCTCTCACTGGACACTTTATTTGGGCAGGGTAGGCACCGACTGTCTGGGTAACTAGGTGCATAGGCGTGCGCAGCCTATTGCAATAGGGTGTGCACCCTAAAGCACAAACACATGCCGCGTGTGTGTGTGTGTATGTATCTATATATATATATATATATATATATATATATATAGATACATACACACACACACACAGTGTGCTGTGTGCTGTTAGTGTGATGTGTGTGTGAGGGTGCTGTTACTGTGATGTGAGGGTGTTTGTGTGTGTGTGTTTGTGACTGTGCTGTTTGTGTGTGAGGGTGTTTGTGTGTGTATGTTTGTCCTGTGAGGGTGCTGTTTGTGTGAGTGTCGTGTATTTGTGAGGGTGCTGTTAGTGTGCTGTGTGTGAGGGTGTTGTGTTTTAAAGGTGCTGTGTGTGTTTGGGAGGGTGCGGTTAGTGTACTGTGTGTGTGTGAGCCGTATGTGTGTAGGTGCTGTATGTGTGTGTGCTGTATGTTTGGAGGGATTTGGCAGATTAGTAAATCCTTGCTGCCATGTGCCATCCCTGGTAGTCCAGAGGAGAGCGAACTCTAGCCTGCGGGGCTAGAGTTAACTCTTGCGAGATCTGAGCGTTGCTGCAGCAACACTCAGATATCGCGAGAGGAACCTGGCAGAGCTTCTGTCTAGAGCTCCCTGGGTCCTCTCCTGCCTCCCTCCATGCTGCTGTGGGCCGGTGAGCTAGATCTTTGATCTCCCCGCCGGCCCATGGAGGCTTAGAGCAGAGCCGGCACTCAGATAGCGCCGGCTCTGCATGTGTGTGTGTGTGTATATATATATATATATATATATATATATATGCGTACACACACACTCACAGACACATTCAGACACACACATACATACACTCACAGACACACACACATTCACAGACACACACTCACACAGACACACACACTCACACAGACACACACATACACAGACACACTCACACACACACACATACACTCACAGACACACTCACACACACACATACACTCACAGACACACATTCACAGACACACTCACACACACAGACACACTCACACACACAGACACACTTACACACACACTCACACAGACAAACACAAACACTCACACACAGACACACTCACACACAGACACACACTCACACACACACATACACTCACAGACACACATTCACAGACACACACTCACACACTCACACACACACACACACAGACACACTCACACACAGACACACACACACTCAAACACAGACACTCACACACAGACACACACACACAGACACACACAGACTCACACACACACACACAAGAACAAATTATTATATTTTAATTAAAAAAAATGTCCACCCAGCCTCCTACCTGGAGTGCTGGTGTGGACTTGTCCCTGGGGTCCAGTGGGGCGGGCGCCTCTCTCCAGCTCAGCCACGGCGAGGGAGTTGTCTGCTCTCTGCTCCCTCTCGCCGCGAGGGCTGTCTACAGTAGCTGGGAGCCGGAATATGACGTCATATTCCTGCTCCCGGCTTCAGCGCGCGGCGAGCTGGAGGGGGGGATCCATCACCTCTTGCCCCCCCATAACAGGGGCAAGAGGTGAGACAGGGGGAGTTGAGTGCCTGCAGGAACAGCGTTGTTCCTGCCGGACTCAAACCATAGGCATTCCATGGGGATTAGGGTGTGCCCAGGCACACCCGGCACACCCCGTGCACACGCCTATGACTAGGTGTCTGCTTTGCCTTAAAGCAAAGCCAACCCCCTCAGTGGGTTGCTAAGGTGCCCAGCCAACCAGCTCTTGGAGTACACCTTACTTTTTGTGAGCGTACCCACTGGTTGAGAAACAAGGGTTTAGAGCATTCAAGTCTACACCATGATGTTTCTTACCTCATGGTCAAGAGAAACACAAAAACTGAAAGAAATAATGAGAAACTTCCACATTACCGCATGTTTATCAAATGAAACATAGAGCCTGGTAGAAACTAACATGGTGAACCTCAAACTTAACCCCTTAAGGACACATGACAGAAATATTCCGTCATGATTCCCTTTTATTTCTGAAGTTGTGTCATTAAGGGGTTAAATAAACAAAAATATATTTGACAGACAGATATTAATTATATATCATTATGTTTTTAAGGGGAACTGTAATCCCAGAACTTTGAATATGAAATTTACGTATATCCATATCAAACAAAGTATGTGAGTGGTGTGAAAAATAAAATGAAATATAAAAATTCACTCCTCTTTATCCTGCAACTAGTGTTTTCATCTTAGCTCCCCTTTAATTATTGCCATAAGTGCTGGCAGACAGTACAGAAAAAGACTATGGATAAATTATACAATGTATGCTTATTATTATAATAATCTTATTATTTATATAGCACCAAAAAATTCTGCAGTGCTTTACAATGGGTGGAGGAACAGACATGTAGTTGTAATCAGACAAGTTAGACACACAGGAACAGAGGGGTTGAGGGCCCTGCTCAGTGAGCTTACATTCTAGAGGGAGTGGGGTAAAATGACACAAAAAGGTAAGGATAGTATTAGACTAGTGACAGTTGCAAGAGAGGAATCAGTCAGGAGCTATTAACAGTTTAATTGATACGCTTTTATAAAGAAGTGGGTTTTTAATGATTTTTTGAAGTAGTGGAGACTGGGTGAGCATCTAATGGAAGAGGGAAGCAAGTTCCACAGGAACGGTGCAGCCCTCGAGAAGTCTTGAAGGCTTCTATTTCTATTTTTTTATTTGTAATATTTGCTCTTGCTTTGCCTTGTCTGCACTGGATTATGATGTAACTGCTAAATCTTTAAACATGAATTTAAAAGAAAATGAAGCATTAAATGAAAAAAAGGTTAACAATTTTTTTTCAATGGTGTAAATTTCCGATAAGTGATAGCTTCCCTTCAAGCAGAGTTATAAATATTAAGGGATGTAGTGCACACACTTTCAGTGCCTTTTTGACTTTGAAAGTGTGTGCGACATTACTAATAACAAAAAAGTATTAATTGATTGGCATAACTAATAACAGCTCAATACAGAACCAGGTTACTGAAGATGAGATTGATTACTGTAACGGAGCTTCTTGTACCCCGGTTGGGTACCTCCGCCGACGGATGCTCCTAGTGCTAGACTTTAAATCTAGAACAAAGAGACTTCCTGTCTGACAAAAAAAAACTACAGTATATAAAACAGAATGAGCCCATGCATAAAATAAAGACACTTTCAGATGAAATAAATTCCTTTAATGGGACATCTGACTGAACCCTCGATCTTTAGACATAGACGAGTTACTGTACATCTGAAATGACTTGCATGGAACTCAGATAACCCACATGTAAGACAAACAGTGGCGTACTAAGGGGGGTGGAGGGGGTGGTCCGCCCCGGGTTCCACTGGGTGGGGGGTGCCATGACCCTGGTCTGGGTGCTGAAGGGGGATTTGTGAGCTGTATGGCCGCACAGTTCCCCATGGTAGTTAGGGTGCCGTGCAGCCAGAACAGCTCACATACGCAAGGAGCAGCTGAATTGGCCGCACAGAGGAAAAGTGGGGGTGGAGCTAAGCAAAATTGGGGGCGCAGCCGAACCAACAGCAAGGGCGAGGCTTACCTTACCCGCTGCTGTTTGGAGGTGCAGCAAGATGGAATCTGCTTTTCCACAGGCTTCAGAGAAGGACTTCAGGGAATCCAGTCCTCCTCCAGCCCACTGTCTGTAAGTAAGAGTGTGTGTGTGTGTCTGTGTGTGTGTGTGTGTGTGTGTGTGTGTGTGAGACTGTCTGTGTGTAACTGTCTGCCAGTAACTGTGTGTGTGTGTGTGTGTGTGTGTGTGTGTATAACTGTATGCCTGTAACTATGTGTCTGTGTGTGTATGTGTGTGTGTGAGATTGTCTGCCTTTAACTGTGTGTGTAACTGTCTGCCTGTAACTTTGTGTGTGTTTATATGTGTGTGTGTGTGTGTGTGTGACTGTCTGCCTGTAACTGTGTGTGTGTCTGTCTGTAAGTGTGTGTGTGTGTGTAACTCTCTGCCTGTGACTGTGAGTGACTATATATGTGACTGTCTGTCTGTAACTGTGTGCATGACTGTCTGTGACTGCATGTGTGACTGTGTGTGTGTGACTGTCTGCCTGTAACTGTGTGTGACTGTCTGCCTGTAACTGAGTGTGTGACTGTCTGCCTGTAAATGTGTGTGTGTGTGTGTCTGTCTGTAAGTGTGTGTGTGTGTAACTCTCTGCCTGTGACTGTGAGTGACTATATATGTGACTGTCTGTCTGTAACTGTGTGCGTGACTGTCTGGCTATGACTGTGTGTAACTACCTGTAACTGACTGTGTGTAATTGTCTGCCTGACTGTCTGCCTGTGACTGTTTGATGTTGCCTGTAACCGTGTGTAAATATCTGTCTGTGACTGTGTGCATGTGACTGTCTGTTGCTGTTGTGTGTGTGTGTCAATGTATATGTGACTGTCTGCCTGTAACTGTGTGCATGACTGTCTGTGACTGTATGTGTGACTGTCTGCATGTGACTGCGTGTCTGTAACTGTGTGTGTGTGTGTGTCTGCCTGTATGTGTGTGTGTGTGTGTGTAATTCTCTGCCTGTGACTGTGTGTGTGAGTGACTGTATATGTGACTGTCTGTCTGTAACTGTGTGCGTGACTGTCTGGCTATGACTGTGTGTAACTACCTGTAACTGACTGTTTGTGTAACTGTCTGCCTATAACTGTGTGTGTGACTGCATGTGACTCTGTTTGTGTGACTGCCTGTGACTGTTTGATGTTGCCTGTAACCGTGTGTGACTGTCTGTGACTGTGTGCATGTGACTGTCTGCTGCTGTCATGTGTGTATGTCAATGTATATGTGACTGTCTGCCTGTAACTGTGTGCATGACTGTCTGTGACTGCATGTGTGACTGTGTGTGTGTGACTGTCTGCCTGTAACTGAGTGTGTGACTGTCTGCCTGTAAATGTGTGTGGGGGGTTGCAGGAATTTTGTTGAAGGGGGCAGGGTTTTGTATTGGGACAGGAGTCTTTATAAGGGGGGATAAGCAGGGGATTTGTGGAAGGGGGTTGCGGGGGGTTTGTAGACAGGGGCAGTACATGATTTGCAGAAGGGGGCAGGACAGGGGTTTTGTAGGAGGGGCTGACAGCCATTTTGCAAAGTTTACAAATTGTAAAAAAAAAAGAAAACCTTTAACATTTTTAACAGGTTTTTTTTTTTTTAGGGGGAGGTGGGGCTAGGGGGTGCCAAGCACAGGATCCGCCCCGGGTGCCAAATGCTCTAGGTACGCCCCTGAAGACAAATACTCCCATATTTGAAGCTGAACCTGTATAAGAACAGGTGCTTCTTTATTAGTACGGAGAGACTCCTGGTGTAACAAAAACACCATGAATGTGGGTGAGACTTGCTGTGTGTGAGTCAAAGACACTCTAAATTTGAAACTATGTGACTCCCAGAGAGACAGAGAAATGCACTATAGTATGTAAACATTAAGAGATTAACAGCAGCTGCTAGAAGATGATTCAAACTCTGGACTTAATCCACATGAGTCTGCAAATGGATTGGTTTAGAGTATAAAACAGAGGGAGCTGGCTTCTATGAAACTAGTCACAGCCTCATCCCTTGGAAGTCCATTTGATACTTTAATGACATGCACTTTCCGTAAGATGGACTCTGCAATCCTACATGATCTGGAGATATAGTAATCCAAAATTACACCTGTTCCCAACAAGGACATAAAAGGAACATGATCTCATAGCCAGCAGGACACATTAGTGCACCTCGGCTTAACACGTCAGTGTTTATAGATCTGATTTATCATTCAAGAGATAACACATTTCATCTCCTTATCCATCTTGCTGCCATGTACATTATTTGTTTATTGCCTGACATAATGAACCTGCAAAACATTAATAATTTTTATTAGAAGCAAAATTAGACTGTACAATATTTCTCTAGGCAAAGTTTAAACCCATATAATAAACCATGCAATGCTAGTGTCATCATTTTGTTAAGTAACACTGGATACATTCTAGATATAGCATGCACTTATTTAAAACTACTACTGTTTGCCAGGGCCAGACTGGGAATAAAAAGCAAGGAATAAAAATTCTATACCAGCCCCATAACACATCGCACCAGCATAGTGTGCAGATATAGAGACAGAAACGATAATTGAAAATTGAAAACTAAAAACTATTACTCTAGCGTGAAAGAAAGTACTCATAGGGCTTCAAAAAACGCCCCAAAAGAGTGATTTTATTTTAACCCCTTAAGAACGGAGCCAATTGTACAAGTTGTGATCAAGACAAAATGTATACAAAACCTGAAATCTTTGTTATATGTCTGTTCAACTGTAATTCACCTCTTTCATATTAAGGGCACACACGTATTATATATAATTTTATTCAGGATAAACAAGGCTTTCATTTAACAGCAAATGTTTAGCTATGAAACATAATTTAATATGAATAAAATATTTTAAAAATTGAGAAATTAAGAAATGTTGTTATTTTTTTAGTTCTGCATGGCATTTTAACCCCTTAAGGACGGCTATGCCATCCTTGGGGACCCGGCTCTAAACGCCGGTGGACAGCATAGTATGTCCACGCCATCCTATGTACTTACCTGCTCGCCAGCGATCCCACTCCGGCGATTGCGATGGTGGGGACTTGCCTGGCATCCCAGGCAGTCCAGCTGCTGCTGATCTAGCCCTCCTGGGCCATGTGATGGCGAGGTCCTTGCGAGGACTTCACGATCACATGGACGGAATAGCCGTCCATTGCAGTACCAGCAGGGGGAGTGCATGAAATGACAGTTAGTACCCCTGCTGCCTGAAATAAAATATACATACACATACACTGTCTAAGTGTATTTTACTATTAATATATATAATTATATATATATATATATATATATATATATATATATATATATATAGATATCATATTATCAAAACACACGTAAAATTATATTATATATATATATCGTTTTTGTTTCTTGGATGGAATAAACCACATTTGATATTCAGAAGTCCGTGAGTGCAGCCTGCTTTGTTTTGTGTACTATATATATATATATATATCATCAAATTGAAAATATAGGATGCACTCACAGGACTTGGTGAAAAAAATGTAGTTTTATTTATTCAAGGTGCAAACCAAAAACCAACGTTTCGACCTCTGTGGGTCTTTTTCAAGGTTACTGTAACAAACAAAATCATATCAATATATACATAAAGTATGAGTGCACTTACCAATCATTTTCGTTGTGAATCCCTGCACCGGTGCCCGGAAGTGAGATAGGGCCGCCCCGTGACGTCATAACGTCATTACGTATGGCGGAAAGCTCAGTGATTACTATAGAAACAGGTAAACTATGCAAGTGAAACCCGTGTGGGTAAGGGAAAGTGAAACCGGTGTTATGATAGAGACAATCGAGATGGAAGAAATAAAAGCATTAGCAAAATACATTGGGCGATTGAAAAGATGCCTGCTAAACCCAAAACACCTAAAAAAAACTGTGCAAGTGCCAATGTGTATCTACATTAAAAACGTGAAACAGTGACAAATCAACTATGTGGCAAAACAAGTGGTATCTAGGCATCAAATGTATGTATGTTAGAATGTTGAAAGCAACTCGTCCCACTCTTGTTAAAGACAAATAATAGTCATAAATATTGACACTCACTAATCTATACATTCAGAGCTATCCACCTTAACAGATAACAAATGCATCATAGATATGCTGAAACATATTGCTCAACAAAAAACAAAACACAAAAGAAAGGGGGACTATTCGCTAAATACATTTTAGTAAAAAATCTAACAATCCCAAAAAAATCTAATCGAAAAATTATAAACATTTGGAGACATCCTACTTAGCAGCAGATATTATGTCAAATTCAACCAAAATGTTCTGAGACAAATTACTATAAACCCTAAAAAAGGGGACTATTCACTAAACCAAATTTTTTTTAAGAGAACAGCCAATTTGAAAAGTAATCAATAAACTAAAACGGATACTAATTCTAGATACTATATGCATATCAGAATATAATGCTATTATATGACACCACAACCAAAATTCAAACTACCACGATTTAAAGAAACATGGAGTACGTAACATGTTCATTAAGTCCCTTAGGGGAAGCTGTGTCCAAATAATGGATCCAATATGCTTCCCTCTGTAGCAATATTTTGGATCTGTTACTGCCTCGGTACGGAGGTGGGACATGGTCGATCGCGATAAATCTCAGTGTGGGCAATCGGTATTGTAAAGCCAAATAATGTTTGGCAACTGTTTTTTCTGAGTGTTGATCCCGGAAAGCTGTAGTTATACCTGAGCGATGTCCTCTTATTCTATCCTGGAGTGTTAAATCTGTCTTACCCACGTATGATAGCCCGCAAGGGCATGTGATCATGAAATGACATGATCCGTCATACAAGTGATATGATGCTGAATGGAAATACGTTGACCAGTTTGTGGATGGGCAAAGGATGTACCAGTTACACATCCTGTGCATCTGTAGCAACCTTTTTTCTTGATTACTTTAGCTTGTTGGTAACAGTGTACTGGATCATTACGGACCAGCATATCCCTCAAACTCCTCTTCCGTCGGTAACTAATAACTGGTGGTTTTTGAAAAATTGGTGATAAATGCTTGTCTGCCTTTAGTATATCCCAGTGTTTTCTATATAGTGTTCTTGATCGGTGAACTATTAGTGTGAAAGGTGAGTGGAAGAAATATGCATTCTGTTGATTGATCACTGATTCTTTCATACATTTGATGCCTAGATACCACTTGTTTTGCCACTTAGTTGATTTGTCACTGATTCACGTTTTTAATGTAGATACACATTGGCACTTGCACAGTTTTTTTTAGGTGTTTTGGGTTTAGCAGGCATCTTTTCAATCGCCCAATGTATTTTGCTAATGCTTTTATTTCTTCCATCTCGATTGTCTCTATCATAACACCGGTTTCACTTTCCCTTACCCACACGGGTTTCACTTGCATAGTTTACCTGTTTCTATAGTAATCACTGAGCTTTCCGCCATACGTAATGACGTTATGACGTCACGGGCGGTCCTATCTCACTTCCGGGCACCGGTGCAGGGATTCACAACGAAAATGATTGGTAAGTGCACTCATACTTTATGTATATATTGATATGATTTTGTTTGTTACAGTAACCTTGAAAAAGACCCGCAGAGGTCGAAACGTCGGTTTTTGGTTTGCACCTTGAATAAATAAAACTAAATTTTTTTCACTAAGTCCTGTGAGTGCATCCTATATTTTCAATTTGGTTATATATGGAACGCAACATGGATGGCACCCAGGAAGGTATTCAATTATATTTTTAAGGAGAGTGCCAAGCTATTATTTATTTATATATATTGGGTGAGCGTTACACCCTCTTGAGCACCCCAATTTTTCATTTACAATATACTATTTTTTTAGTATTTGTCCTGCCACTTTTTCAAGTTGTCTTCAGGATGGAAGATTTTTTGGCTAGATCTGGAGCTCTGGCTGACACAGCAGAAACGCTGAGTGTGGCAAACATAGCCACTTAGACTATATCAAGAGACTGTACTTTTAAGGGTTGCCTGTATGTCGGTGGGGATATGTGTTCAACTATGTATATTGTATGCTGGCTGTAATACCTTGAATTGCCTGTAATTGCTATCTGCCAAATGCAGATAGCTATTTGTATGGGGTTTTCCTTTCGTTTCACGAACGGCACTTTGGCGGGCCGTTCGTGAACCGAAAACACTATCCCTAATAGCCCACACACTTAGAGGCGTGTGGCACTTGTTAACCGATTGCAACAATGTTGCAATCGGTAATTAGAGGCTCTCCTGGGTGGCCGTCGTTCGACTACCGACCATGCGGCGGTCGGCCATCTTGGATCCTTTGTTCCCTCAGCGGTGTTAGGTCGTCGAGCGCATGGTACTAAAAACGGCTACTCGACGGCACGAACACCGCTGAGCCTCCAGGACGTTCGGTAGTTCCGGGCCGCTCGGTATTTCATTCCCTGGAAGGCAATCGGTCTTTTGAATATGTTTCTTAATGAATGTGTTTTTCATGCGGCGTTCGGTTATTTTAGCTGGGATCTGAGCGGTAATCTCACGAATGATGCGCTCAGACCCAGCTATCTACCGAACGTCCATTCGTGCAAATACACTGTATATTCGAAAAGTTACAGATTTTTATATAATTTGTCGGTTCTGCTGCACGGAGGGATAATCCACTTAACAGTATATTCTAGGAGGAGGATCCCTCTCGTGCAGCAGTGCCTGATGGAGAAATGCTTTGTACTGTAAGTTCCCCATGTAGTCCTCTATGGGAATGCCCCTGGGAAGGGACTCAGGAAACCCCTTGCATGGGGACTTGTATAAATTGTGCAGCAGAATTAAAGGACTTCAGTTGACTCTCAGAACTGTGTTTCGTCCGGTTACTGGGAGGTTGGGGATATTGCCTTGTTGTTTCAGCGCTTGACTGTGGATTACTTCCTGAACCAGCGGAATTCGTGGATTTAATATTGGCGTTCCGCTACACTGAGTATTACTGACGAACAAGCTACAGCCGTACTATGGCCTCGTACCTCTAAGGATCTTACACATACCAACACTGCCAAGGAGCTATACAATGATTTGCTTAAATTAAAACGACGTGAGATTGATTTAGACCTCCATGGAGTCTTCATCTCAGACTACTATAGAGCCAAACGAATACCAAGAGGTTTCAGAGTTCGCAACGCTCCCACGATAGGCAGACAAAACCCGGATTTCTGCAGACACTGGATGCAAATAGCCAATAAATGTTCTCTAGATTGGATGGTCATAGTTGTAGAGGAGGTGGGGAAAGAGTTAATTCAAGTTAAAAAAAAGTATTCAAGAATTTGAAGTTAGCAATATCACCATTTTGCAAGCACCTTCTACGCATGATACCATGATCAAACTCCAAGATGAGATTCAAAAATATCAAAACGACTTAATAAGATTTAAGAAACAAAAATTTAATAAAGTAAATCACGATTACACACATCACCAAGTGTACAGATGGCTAAGCGGCAGCGATACTAACAGCAGGAATCCTCCATCAAGATATAAGCAGCGGATCATGAAACCACGGTTTCAAACCATTGATGTCAGCTCAGGTGAGTCCGCCTCTGACGCTGAGACATTTGAAGGAATACCCAAATCTCAAACTACTCCTTTTTTAGAGAGAGATATTATATCCAAAGATCCTCTGGATACACCCAAGGAAAGGAGAGACACAAGAAAAAAAGACCCCTCAGGTGAGGAAAGAAGAGTAACTCGGTACACCAATACCTCAGGAAGACCTCCGATCCAGAGAACACGTCCGTAGTGTTCAATCTGTCAGACAAAAAGCTCACAGATGACCATTTTTTTGTTCTAAATAAAGGACTTACATTTATACCTAGTAGAAAACCAGATGCCTTTGCCATGGAAATTGAACTGTACAAATTAAATCGTATCTTGAATTGTAATGAATTCAGAAAAATTTAAATCAACCGATGCCCTAATACTTTTTCTTCAAGAGAGAAGAAGGACATTAAAACCAATAGCATTGCCATCAAGTCTTATATACAAACAATACAGAAAGATGTACAAAGTATTATTAAAGTGCCTCCTCATTCCAGACACAATTTAACGATCAAGGAAAAAGACGCTCTCAAAGATCTTCAACAAGACCCCACAATAGTCATCCGCCCGGCGGACAAAGGGGGCGCAATAGTCATTCAATCTTATCAGCAATACAGAAAAGAAATCATGAGGCAATTGCAGGATGAAAAAACTTACAAGAAACTTACATTTGATCCAGTTAAGAAGTTTCAACAACGGATTACTGGCCTTATTGAAATAGGTCTTCAAGCAAATTACATTGACTCAAATATGGCTAAATTTCTCAGAGTCGAGTTTCCAATTCATCCAGTATTATATACCATACCAAAAATTCACAAATCCTTACAAGAGCCTCCGGGAAGACCAATAGTGTCGGCTAGAGGTGGACTCCTTGAGCCTATAGCCAAATTTGTGGATTTTCACATACAAGGTTGTGTTAAGGAAATACCATCATGCCTCAGAGATACTCAAGATCTATTAGATCAAATAAAAGAGTTAAGTATCGCAACGGATGTAGAATTCATTTTTGCTACACTTGATGTGCAAAATCTATATACGGTCATACCAATAACAGAAGGCATTAATGCGGTACGGGAAATCCTTCTTAAAACAAAAACGTACCAAGGACCACCGATTGAATATCTTCTGGAATGGTTAACATTTGCACTTACTTGCAATTACTTTAAATTCGAAACTTCGTTCTATGTACAAACCTTTGGGACAGCGATGGGGGCGGCCATGGCACCTTCATATGCCAATATATTTATGGCCTGGTTTGAACAACATCATATTTTTTCTATGTTCCACACTAAAATACTGAAGTATTTCAGATTTGTGGACGATATTTTGTTACTCTGGAAAGGAACCAAAGAAGAACTTATTGAAATGGTTACTACCATCAATAACTTACACACTCCGATTAAACTCACTTCCACAATTGATGCTAATACTATCCAGTTTTTGGATGTATCACTATTTAAAACTGACAATGGCATTGGCTATACTCTTTTCCAAAAGGAAACAGATCGGAATACACTGCTTTTAGCCACCAGTTTTCATCCGAAACATTTCATTGATTCGTTACCTATTTCCCAGTTCATACGTGTACTACGCTACAATAGTGATCCCGTCCAAATGAATTTACAGTTACAACAAATGCGACAGAGATTCTTAGCTAGAGGTTATTCGTCTCAAATATTAACCCTAGCTGAGACTAAAGCAAAAGAAAAAATTCAGAAAACCTCTGAGAGAATCAGTGATCAATCAACAGAATGCATATTTCTTCCACTCACCTTTCACACTAATAGTTCACAGATCAAGAACACTATATACAAATACTGGGATATACTAAAGGCAGACAAGCATTTATCACCAATTTTTCAAAATCCACCAGTTATTAGTTACCGACGGAACAGGAGTTTGAGGGATATGCTGGTCCGTAATGATCCAGTACACTGTTACCAACAAGCTAAAGTAATCAAGAAAAAAGGTTGCTACAGATGCACAGGATGTGTAACTGGTACATCCTTTGCCCATCCACAAACTGGTCAACGTATTTCCATTCAGCATCATATCACTTGTATGACGGATCATGTCATTTACATGATCACATGCCCTTGCGGGCTATCATACGTGGGTAAGACAGATTTAACACTCCGGGATAGAATAAGAGGACATCGCTCAGGTATAACTACAGCTTTCCGGGATCAACACTCAGAAAAAACAGTTGCCAAACATTATTTGGCTTTACAATACCGATTGCCCACACTGAAATTTATTGCGATCGACCATGTCCCACCTCCGTACCGAGGCAGTAACAGATCCAAAATATTGCTACAGAGGGAAGCATATTGGATCCATTATTTGGACACAGCTTCCCCTAAGGGACTTAATGAACATGTTACGTACTCCATGTTTCTTTAAATCGTGGTAGTTTGAATTTTGGTTGTGGTGTCATATAATAGCATTATATTCTGATATGCATATAGTATCTAGAATTAGTATCCGTTTTAGTTTATTGATTACTTTTCAAATTGGCTGTTCTCTTAAAAAAAAATTGGTTTAGTGAATAGTCCCCTTTTTTAGGGTTTATAGTAATTTGTCTCAGAACATTTTAGTTGAATTTGACATAATATCTGCTGCTAAGTAGGATGTCTCCAAATGTTTATAATTTTTCGATTAGATTTTTTGGGGATTGTTTGATTTTTTTACTAAAATGTATTTAGCGAATAGTCCCCCTTTCTTTTGTGTTTTGTTTTTTGTTGAGCAATATGTTTCAGAATATCTATGATGTATTTGTTATCTGTTAAGGTGGATAGCTCTGAATGTATAGATTAGTGAGTGTCAATATTTATGACTATTATTTGTCTTTAACAACAGTGGGACGAGTTGCTTTCAACATTCTAACATACATTCATTTGATGCCTAGATACCACTTGTTTTGCCACTTAGTTGTTTTGTCACTGATTCACGTTTTTAATGTAGATACACATTGGCACTTGCACAGTTTTTTTAGGTGTTTTGGGTTTAGCAGGCATCTTTTCAATCGCCCAATGTATTTTGCTAATGCTTTTATTTCTTCCATCTCGATTGTCTCTATCATAACACCGGTTTCACTTTCCCTTACCCACACGGGTTTCACTTGCATAGTTTACCTGTTTCTATAGTAATCACTGAGCTTTCCGCCATACGTAATGACGTTATGACGTCACGGGGCGGCCCTATCTCACTTCCGGGCACCGGTGCAGGGATTCACAACGAAAATGATTGGTAAGTGCACTCATACTTTATGTATATATTGATATGATTTTGTTTGTTACAGTAACCTTGAAAAAGACCCACAGAGGTCGAAACGTTGGTTTTTGGTTTGCACCTTGAATAAATAAAACTACATTTTTTTCACCAAGTCCTGTGAGTGCATCCTATATTTTCAATTTGATGATATATATATATATATATAGTACACAAAACAAAGCAGGCTGCACTCACGGACTTCTGAATATCAAATGTGGTTTATTCCATCCAAGAAACAAAAACGATATATATATATAATATAATTTTACGTGTGTTTTGATAATATGATATCTATATATATATATATATATATATATATATATATATATATATATATATATATATATATATATATATATATATATATATATATATATATATATATATATATATATATATATATACACACACACATATATAAGAGATGCACTCTCAGGTCTTTGTAGAAAAAAAAACTCGATATTATTTAATAACCAGTAACCTACATCTGATCGACGTTTCGACCTCTTCAGGTCTTCCTCAAGATAATTTGTGTTAGGTGCTCATGATAGTACAGAGTAAAATACCATAATTAAATGTAGGATAGTAAAAAGGGCAAGCAAGTCGGTTGTGGTGTGCCGGAACAGACGATGAGGTAGGCCTGAGAAAGAAGAGGGGCCTACCCAGGAAAAAGAAATAGAAAGGAAATAAATGTTGAAATGTGGTGTGGTGGGAGGGTAATTCAACGCTGACCTCGAACGGTAAGGAGCAAGGTAAGGGGTGTGCCTTAAGTAGGCTAGGAGTGGATACCAAGCACCTCCCACAAATCCAGGCAAATTTCCTTAATACTTGTGTTAGGTGCTCATGATAGTACAGAGTAAAATACCATAATTAAATGTAGGATAGTAAAAAGGGCAAGTCGGTTGTGGTGTGCCGGAACCAACGATGAGGTAGGCCTGAGAAAGAAGAGGACAAAAATTAATTAAGTAATCAAATTTATTACAGACAACCAATACAGATACATATATCAACCAGATATGTTTTTGAAAGCATCCCTTAATTCTTGTACTGGGTTCGGTATGTATCGTGAGTAAGCGGATGACTTCCAGCGCCCCAGTGTTTTTATAACATGAACTGGAATGTTGACACTGGAGGCTGTGGATGCTGCTCCTATGCGGAAGGAGTACCCTGAGTAGTTAGCTGCTTTGAGGCCAGTTGAGTGAGCAAAGACCTGACGTAGGTCATGAAGGTTGTAGTGGTGAGTACCGAACTTTGTAATAGTAGTAATGGTTGTGATGGTATTGAAATATGATGCTGTAGGTATGCATCCAGAACCTTGATGGGGCACCACTTGTTGTGCGTGGGGTAGTATGGAATGTTTACTGGTATGTGCTGGCTGGTTTTGGAGTGAGGTAGCGTCAGGATGTAATGATGTTTTGTTAAGTGGGAATAGAGGAGAATAGGAGCATGTGACGAGAGCAACCTCGCCACATTGCATTGGAGAAGCCTGGTTGCTCGCCTGCTGCCTTTGGATTATGGCCCCATGTTAAAAGACTTTGTTTCCCCTGCAGAAAAGACTTATTCGTGCTTTTCTGCCCGGTGTTCGGTAGATTTAATCTACCGAACAACCGCACGAATGACTAGACCACCTGGGAGCTGGAGTGTGCCGGCAATTAGCCTCCCAGAAGCTGCGGTTAACTGCAGCTTAATTGACGAATACTGGGTGGCCGCCATTCGTATACCGAACACGAGGTTGCGGCCATTTTAAACACGCGAACGCCCAGCGGTATTCGACACCTAACTCATGGAATTAAAAACGGACACAGTTTGGCACGAACACCGCTGAAGCCGCCGACCTCCCTTCTTGTTCGGTGGACGTACACGAACGGCCCTGTATTTGGTAGTTGTACCTGACTACACCATACCCCAGATAGGAATCCCAGTGAGCTCATTCGTATGAGAACTGACTTTGTGAACACTTTGGCTCCATGGCGATTGAACTGTATTCGTGTAGTCTGAGCGCCATTCACTTAATAATGTGCGCTCAGACCTGAGCTATCTGGGGACATGTTAAATGTATGCCTTTACTGTAACCGTTCCAACATAGTGTATTTTAATAGTAATTCCTGTATTGGTATCCCCACGTGCATAATGGCGATTTGCCTTTGTCCTGGGAGATAATTGAATTACTTCTCAATTATCTCCAGGGCAGAGGGGAGGAAGCCAGGATGCATTGTGGGAATATAATTTGACTGTGTCCTATTTTGCTGATTGTCTGTCTTTTGTCACAGTCTCCCATTTGGTCCCCTAGGGGAGTGTCCACCAGGTGGGAGACCTGCATAAATTCTGGGCAGGTAGCCCTCATTAAACAGACCACTGCTTGACCCTCAACACGGAGCCTTGTCTCGTCTTTGGGGGATTTACTGAATGCTGATAGAGACTGATTGCTAGGAGTGTAAGCCGCTTGGATGCTTTTCCTATTCGTCTGCTAGCAGCTATTCGTATGGTTCCAGTTCGTGAGTTTGGAGTGCTATATTGTATACAGTTCGGGAGATTGGAGCATTCCCTTATTTGCGGTTCGGGAGTTTGGTGTTCTACAGTAGCTGTGCCTGCATCTCTGAAAGGGGACGATCGCCCCTTGTGTGCTGAAACGGTCCGTTACAGAGCAGATTGTGTTATGTTGGTTGTAGTAAACTCTCTAGGTCTTAGGAATCCATAGAAAGCTATGTATATTGCTGCTTTGAAGACAGAATTTGTATTGGTGTCAAAAGGTTTTAAATCAAGCAGGTTAGATAATGCCTTGAAGATATGGTTATCTATGGGTAGCCTCTGTGATGTACATGTGGGTTCAGATTTCTGAATGCCTCTGAGTATGGCCTTGATCTGGTGAGAGGCCATGAAACTAGTATTGTTAGGTTGTAAGATTAGCATATGGTGTTGAATGCCTGTGAGATAAAGTTTGATGGTGTTATATGACATTTTAAGTTTAAGGTGGCAAAAATAAGCAAAACCCAAAATAGATGGCATAACAAATGGTTGCATGATGTTATGTTCCAAAAGGAATCTTTTGAATAGTGTAAAAGCCCTGTCGTATGTTTTGTGTGTATTCTTTGACAGTGCCAATTGAGACAGTGTCCTGCTATGATGCATGATGATGTCTAGTCCAGTATTAGTTGTTGAAATGTTGGAGTAGTAGTGGCTGTGAGCGCAGCTGACGGGAGTGCTTGATGAAATGCCTGAAATTTAAAACGAGATAAACTGTCAGCAGCTGTGTTACATATTCCTGGAACATGGAAACAATATAGAAAGAAATTATGACAAGCTGCCAACCACGTGAGTTTCCTCAGAAATCTCATGATCGTAAGGAATTTGGAGTGACCTTTGTTGATGATGGGACAGGTTGCCTGGTTGTCTGAGTAACAGCGAACTGGCATATTTGCCCATAAATGACCCCATGCTACGGCAGCTGCCACAATGGGATAGATCTCAAAGAGAGCTGAGGTAGTGGAAAAACCTTCCAAATCCTGAACGGCTGTAGGTCAGCTGCCCCAAAGCCATTCGTTCCCAAAAATTGCTGCAAAACATGTGGTAGATGTTGCATCTGACCAAATAGTAGGTGATGAGTCAGTCAATTGAGGGAGGAACATAATTTTACCATTCCAAGTGGTTAAAAATTCCTTCCACGTGCGTAGGTCTGCCGTAGCTTGGTTATCTAAGGACAACCTCTGTGTGTCATGTAGGAAGCGTGGAAAAAGGTACAAGAGTCGTGATATGAAGGAGCGGCCTTGAGGTATGATACGCATGGCAAAATTTAGTGACCCCAGCAGGAACTGTAGCTCTTTGCGGTTGCAAGTACCGAGCTGAAGGTAGCGGTTGATGTAAGTAAGAATGTTCTCTATCTTGTCGTGTGGTAGGCTTGCTTGCATTGTGGTTGAGTCTAATTGAATACCCAGGAAAGTGATAATCTTGTCTGGCCCCTCTGTTTTCTTAGCGGAGATTGGTACACCTATTTGCTCGAATAGCTTGGTGGTAGCTTTGAGGCTACTAGGAGGGGAAGTATTTTCCTCGACCAGTAAGAAGTCGTCCAGGTAATATTATACCGTAGGGCATCTGGCTATGTTCAATAGTAACCAGCACAATGCTTCGGCAAATGTGTCGAAAATAGCTGGGCTACTTTTGGACCCAAAAGTTAAACAGGAGAAAAAATAGTAGTTCCTGGCCCACTTGATTCCATGCAGGTGCCACAGTGTGGGGTGGATTGGTAGAAATTTAAAGGCATTAGTAATATCGGTCTTACTAAGCCAGGCTCCGACCCCTGCTTGTATGATCGCTGTAATGGCGTGATCTATGGTGGTGTATTGCAGGGAGAATTCCTCGGAGGGTATGAGGGAATTAAGACTGTGGCCCGATGAGTGTGGTGCAGACAAGTCAATGATGAGTCTCTGTTTAAGGGAAGATTTCCCTGTGACAATACCAATGGGTATTATGGCGTACCAATGGAGCTTTGAAAGGCCCCAATACGAAACCCTCAGCAACTTCTTGGGCTATGAGAGTGTCAACAGCTGTGGGATTATGTTGGCGGAATGTATATTAATGGACGTGAGGTAAGGCTTAGAATACATTTTATTTGGACACATGGTTTTTGCATGTGCCCTAAAACATTTTAAACAGATATGCAATAATCTGCAACCGCTATAATTACAAGACCCAACATTGAAATTATTACATATCTGGGACTTGCCCAGGAACTTGATCGGGCATCCCAGTTTGTCTCTGTTCACTTTCTCTGGAACACCAGAGGAACTAGCTCCTTGCATGGAGGCATGTTCGTCAGCCGTGTTGGGACAGAAATTTGTCGTATGGGCTGTAGAGGAGCAGTATGCACAAGCCGGTGTTCTTAGACCTGCAAAGTGACTCCAAAATATGGCGGTATCTATCCTTCCCCAGTTGGATCTTGTTCCATACTGGGAGAACGCTCCAGACACTTTTGCAGAAAAAGTCCTATGGTAGTCATAAAAGGTTGAACCACCATATTTGTTGCCCAGGTCTACCAGCTTGTGCATATAAACATCAAACTCCTCTCTTCTATTGGGATAGACCGCACATATGACATCCCGGTAAATACCAAAGGCCAGTACAAACTCGGGGATAGTCAGTTTCCTGTTTAGGCGGGCGTCCCTAGATCTGACAACAACAGACACATCATCATAAGCATAAGTCTTATTCTCCACAATATCCTGGGAGGCAATCAGCAGGGAAGCTAGGTTGACGTCTTTACCTTCCAGGATATCTCTTTTTATGTGCTCAGGGATCATATGAGCAGGGCTAACTTCCTGGTCATCCGAGGTGATGGAACCAATAGCAAGTCGGCTGGTGCTTGTGAAGCAGCAGCGGGTGGCCCTGCTAGAGTAAGGGCCGTGGTGTCCGACTCAAGTTTCTCCAACCTGGAGTTGACCTTGCTCATGAGTGAAGATAACATAGAATGTATGTCTCCTGGGTTGGACTGGCTAGGTCCTTCACCGGGATCCATGTTGTTATTTGAGGTACGTAGCAGTTTGAAAAGTTCTGCTTTCCTTGCTGTAGCGGGGTAGGGGATTTGCCCTCTCCTTAGTTCGGTAGTTATACGAGGGACCGTCCAGGATCTGATCGATGCTGGACTATTTACCTCTCCTCCTTGTGTAGGAGTGATAGCTCTAGCCGGAGTGCTAGGCAGGGAGAAATCCTCTACCCCTTCCTGAGACATACTATAACCAAAACAATTAATTAGTGTATGAAAAACACCAAAATCGTACTGGCAGGCTAGCTAAGCCAGATGGCGAAACATTACACTTGTTTGGTGACAGGTGAGGCCCTACTAGTTGCCAAGTGGCTTGAGAGGCTCTATCTATGCGTTGACGCGAGGGGATTTGAGGCCACCCTTCGGAGTGGCAGGAATTTTAGGCCTCTCGGTGACTGTAACATAGAAAACAGGGAAAGGGAGTGACAGGTGAGGCCCTCTCTATGCAACATGCGAGGCGGATAGCTAACGTGTGGCCCGATGGGTTTTTGCCTCTGAAACGTTGAGGGGGGGTGTTGGCCTCGCGGGACCACTAACTGATGGCAATGCCAAGAGGGGGTAAATACCTATTGGGAAGCCTATGGTACTCAGGGGCCAGTACTCTAACCTAAGGAGGAGAAATGAAATGTATGGCAGAGTACCATATGAGCAGGTGTACGTACCTGGTAGTATGAATATCTCACAGGAAACCATGTGGTGAAAATATCTATTTAAACCTGGACACAGGGCCGTCTTTAACACAGGGCAAACGGGGCAGCTGCCCTGGGCCCAGTTACTCCTGGGGGGCCCAAAGCAGCTGCCCTGTGGGCCCACAACAATTTGGAGGGGCCTATCAGGTGGCCCATGCATTTAGGGCCACCGATGGGTGTCTCTGAACAGGCACCCGGTGGGGTGCCATGGCCCTTTAAGAGCAGACCGGGCCCCTGTAGTATTAGCTGGATGGGAGGAAGTGACAGCCGATCACTTCCTCCCAGCTTCAGAAGAGAGGACCGCGGGAGGAAGGAGGCCGCAGCAGGTAGCAGCATGGGGGGTGGGGGGGGGAGAGGCAAGAATGAGCTTCTGCTCATTCCCACTCCTATCAGCCTCAGCCAGCTCTAAGCTGAGTTGAAGGTAAGTGTATCCAGTCCCTGATCCTTTTCTTCTGGGTGAATGGCTGCAGCTAGGATAGTTTTTAGAAAAACCACCCCACTCAATGCCCCTGCCCTGCTTTCCCCCACTTACTGCTTATTTTCTCTGTGCCCCCACTTACTGCTTATCTTCTCTGTGCCCCCACTTAATGCCCCTGCCCTGCCTTCCCCACTCACTTCTTCACTTTTCTGTGCCCTCACTCTCTGGCCCTGCCCTGCCTTCCCCACTTACTTCTTCTCTTCTCTGTGCCCCCACTCTCTGCCCCTGCCCTGCCTTCCCCCACTCACTGCTCCTGCCTCCCCCCCTCACTGCTTTTTTTACCCTGTGCCCCCACTCACTGCCTTTCTACTATGTGCCCCTACTCACTGCTTTTTTTCTGTTTAGATTAGTTTAATTATTGCTGCAGTTGCATTTAAGCACAGGTGATGAGAGGATGAGAAACATAATTGGCGTGTATTTTTTTTGTATTTTATATTTAAATTCTTTGTTTGTTGTGCATTACATATAACAGTACCAGCTTGCCTTGCCACAGGAGCATCAGCATTTACAAGCTTTGTGCCTCCTCCAACTCTCTGCTCCTGCCCTGCTGCAAACATAAAAATTATCACATGTATGTCAGAGTGTGTGTATCTGTGTGTATGTGTGTGTAACTGTGTCGGTGTGTATCTGAGTGTTTATGTGCCAGTGTGCATATCAGAATTTGTGTGCATGTGCCAGTGTGTGTATCTGTGTGTCAAGGTATGTGCATGGGTCAGTATGTTTATATGTGTGTTGATGTGTATGTAACTGTGTATGTGTATACATCCCAGCAATCAAAAACAACAGGCAAACACATCCCTGATAACACAAACATTACAGACAAACACACCCCTGATTTCAAACTCAAAATTATATATAAAACACACCCTTTACCCAAACACCAATACTATACACAAATGTTTAGAAGACAACTAGAGATGTCGCGAACCGTCCGCGAACTTCTCGCGAGCGGGTTCGTGGCGAACTCTGGTCAGCTGACACAGCACGAGCTACATACTTATTCTGAGCTTGTTTGCTTGCACAGGGACAGTGAATACTATACACTGCCATATGTAACCATAAGTTTCTTTTTGGTAATCCACTGTTACATTTATATTAGATGCAGGTATCCCTGTGCTATCTAAATATAGCTTTGTGATTCAATCATCATTGTATGCAGCTTATTTGTACCTTTGGGACACAACTCACCTTGTATACTTTGATTTGTATACAACTTTATTGTAAAAACCGTATGGTTTTTGCACATTGCTAGGAGAAGGATCCTGAAAACTTTTGAACAGGACCTCTTCATCTTTATCTATATCTTGATTATAGTTACATTTAGTGTGAGTTTGTTCTCCCATTAGGATTGGAAAACAGAAGCTGGAACGAATAGTTTAAACATATGAATTTTATGCGAACCGCAAGCGTGTTTGAGCGTATCATGAAAAAGTGCCGAACGGCAAAACAACCGAAATGATAACCTGTTTCACTGTAACATGGAATAGTAATATGCGAAATGACTACTTATACGAATATACTGGTTAGCCGAATGACCGTACTAATGAAAACCGCGAGCGGCTTGTATAATTTGTGACATAACAGGGAAAAACCGTAAAGCAAGGACCCGTGCTGTACCGTACGCCGTGGGAACCGATCCTGGCGTGACAGGTAGGTCTAACTTACGGTTTAGGAGTCCCTGGGACGCGATCTACGACGATGACCAGGGTCAAAAGAAACTGGACGGACGGAAAAGGCCTGAACAGGATTCCTGGACACAGCTTGACGCGGAAAAACCTCGTGGATACTGAAAAACCAAGATGGCGTCTGAGAGAACCCGGAAGTGGATCCTCACTTAACGCTGACCTCGAACGGTAAGGAGCAAGGTAAGGGGTGTGCCTTAAGTAGGCTAGGAGTGGATACCAAGCACCTCCCACAAATACAGGCAAATTGCCTTAATACATATACACATACACATATATATATATATGTATATATATATACATACGTATGTATATATATTTTAATTCTACGTCTATATTTATGTAATATTTTTAAAGAATTAGGTAATTGTATTAATTACAATTTGCGGGACCTGCCTGATAACCCCGGGAGAAAGTCCAGAGAATTTAATTTGCTAGCACTATATTTAACCCTGTAACTTTCTAAGACACCATAAAACCTGTACATGGGGGGTACTGTTGTACTCGGGAGACTTCACTGAACACCAATATTAGTGTTACAAAACAGTAAAATGTATTACAAGGATGATATCATCAGCAAAAGTCAAATTTTTTACATTTTTCACACACAAACGGCACTTACACTAGCGATATAATTGTTGTGATACGTTTTACGGTTTTGAAACACTAATATTTGTATTCGTCGAAGTCTCTTGAGTATAACAGTACCCCTCATGTACAGGTTTTATGGTGTCTTCAAAAGTTAAACGGTCAAATGTAAGGCTTGTGTTTCCGTTTTTTCACATTTAAACTAGCCAAATTTGTTGTGTTGCCTTTGAGACCGTATGGTAGCCCAGGAATGGAATTACCCCCGTGATGGCACTGGGTACGTCCAGTCTTTTTTAGTAGCCACTTAGTCACAAACACTGGCCAAAATTGGTGTTCAAATTATTTTTTTGCATTTTTCACACACAAACAAATATTAATGCGAACTTTGGCCAGTGTTTGTTACTAAGTGGCTACTAAAAAAGACTGGACGTACATTTGCAATACCTTGGGTTGTCTAGTATTGCAAATTGTATGCCATCATGGGGGTAATTCTCATTTCTGGGCTACAATACAGTCTCAAAGGCAACATAACCAATCTGGTGAATTTCAATGTGAAAAAAAATGAAAAATGTCACATGCTATATTTGACCCTATAACTTCCCAAAACATAAAACCTGTACATAGGGGGTACTGTTTTACACGTGAGACATCGCTAAATACAAATATATGTATTTTATTGCAGTAAAAGCAAACAGTCTTATGACATTCACATTTAAAATGTCATGCAGAACTAAAAAAATAAAAATTTTAAATTTCTCACATTTTTTTATATTTTATTCATATTAAATTATGTTTCAAGCTAAATATGTTAAATGAAAGCCCTATTTTTCCTGAATAAAATGATATATAATAGGTGTGGGTGCACTTAATATGAAAGAGGTGTATTACGGTTAAACAGACATATATTCAAATTCCAAGTTTTGTTTACGTTTTACTTTGATCAAAACGTGTACATTTAGCTCAGTCCTTAAGGGGTTAACTGTGAATGTCATAATACTGCTAGCTGTTACTGCAATAATGTACACATATTTGTATTCAGCAATGTCTCACGAGTAAAACAGTACCCCCAATGTACAGTTTTTATGGTGCTTTGAAGGGATGGTTTCCCAAGTGCGCAGCCCCTGATGACCTGTTCCTAGACAAAGCAGCCCTAAGATCATGGGAATTTGACATCTGACTACATAAATCAATCATCAATCAAAAGAATCAACAGAAGCTTTTTCCATGATTGATTATTCCAATACCAGCTCTCACAGTTCCAAATGGGACTCTGTCTTCAAATACTTCAGCAAACCTGCATAGTCGAACAACTGAAGGGGTGAGATCAAACCATATTTTTTTTAAGTAGTTTTTTACTGAGTGCTCAGCTGGTTGAAAATATATATTTTCATTTTTTTCGCTTTTTTTTTTTTTATTTCATTTCTTTTTTTTTTTGCTCCTATTTTTTTGGGTTAATGATTGTTGTATGTTCATGTGTATATATGTATATATGGATGGCTTTTTTTGATTAATATACACACTATCACTAGTGGATCTGAATTATTACTTTTGCTCAATACTTATTTAGCTCATTGGTTTGTTGGTATCAACCTGAATGGTATTAACCTGAATATCCATTTGCTGGGCCTTAGCCAGGACACTTTAATTTTTTTCTCTCCAGGATTAGGAATAATATACTGTATTCCCACCTGAGAAAGTGTTTCTCCCAAGATTAGCGTTTTGTTGTATATCTTATAAAAGTGTTTACTTTCGGTATATGTATTCTACAATATATACATTGCCCTAAAAAATTATTTTGTATTCCTATATTTTGGGGGTATTTTAGTTAGAGGTTCAGTCATAGGAGGGGAACCCCAATTCCAGCACCTTTCACAGCTGAGTGTCATCGTAGAGTTATGTTTTTTATGGTGTTTTGGAAAGATACAGAGTCAATTATAGCACATTAAATTTTTCAGTTTATACCCATTGAAATTTGCCAGACTGGTTATGTTTCATTTGAGACCGTATGGTAGCAGAGGAATGAGAATTACCCCCATGATAGCATACCATTATGCAGTCCACCTTCCAGTAGATGGCAGCATAGGGGAGTTATGCACTTGTTCTGTTGTGTTAGTGTCTCTTGTGTTATGTCATTATGTGTGTGTACTGAAGTAAAGAAAAGTCCTATTTTACTACAGTAACACTTTTCTTTTGGAATTCTATTATCTACAAATATCTCTAGCATGGCTTCTCTGGGACACATGGAGTAATTTGATCTGGCTAATCCAGCCTCATGGGACTCATATGCTGACAGATTAGTGTTTTTCCTGAAAGCTAATAAGGTGGTTGATGCTATTCAGAAGAGAGCTGTGTTACTGAGTGTTATTGGATCCAAGACTTTGGATACTGTCCGCTCACTGATATCACCTGCTAAACCACAAGACTACTCATTTGAAGAAATACTGGCACTGTTAAAAAATCATTTAGCACCTGTAACGGAACCGCTGGCACCCCGACCGGGTACCTTCCGCCGACGGATGCTCCTAGTGCTTTCCGAGGACTCCAAGCACTCTGCCTGACACCATAACCACTGCATACCCCACGAACCGCCGCAGCTTGGTTGGGGTCTCGCCGTCTCCACCCACTCTGGACCCAGGACCAGGGTCCAGCTTCCAGCAGGTCGACCTCTCTCCGAATTCCAGAGAGCAGGAACAGGAACAAGCTCTTAGCAGAGCTTAGTGATTATACCCTGGGGAGTATAGTGATTATAGCAATCCCCAGAGTGTAGTTTCTCCAATCCCCCAAACATGAGCCGAAACTTCATGAAGGTACAAGATGATCTGACTCCAATGAGCGTTTATTACTCCTTATATACAAGTTTTCAGGTCAGAGGCACACCCCCTGGACCTGGTGGTAAACTGTGACAAAAGGGACACAAACCAATGGGAACACTAATTAACATGATAACACTCTCACATACACAATGAAATCCCTCCTCTCCATCCTGGAGATAATTGGCTTAAGGCACTGCAGTAAACTCAATTATCTCCAGGTACAGAAAATATCTACATTTAACACTAACAGCAAAATACGTAAAAGTACATAAAAATACATAATTCTTATTTTATTACACAGAACCCCCACATTTAACCTATCCCCAGATAGCTCGGATCTGAGCGCCCAATCTAGGTGAACAGCGCTCAGATCCCATGAACAGAGTAGATTTTCCATGGGGTAAAGCATAGCAAGGGCTGTTGAGAAACCAAGGAGGGACAAAAGCAGTCAGTTCCAACTGGTTTGGCAGTGTGCCTGGGACAACACCCTGCTGGAGAACAATAGACAGGAAACGGGGGAGGGGAAGAAACACACCTTCCCATGGATTCAAATGGGAAGAAACTGTCTTTAGAAGCCAATAAGCCCCAAATAGTCTTTTTAAATGGCAATACACCCCAGGGCCATAGTCATGAGGAAGGAGGCTGGCAATCAGGCTCCTCCAAAAGCCAGGGCCAAAGGGCAGCTTGTCACCTAACAATCCAGGGACAAAAGGCATTTCGTCACACATCTCCCCTTTGGGGGGGAGACTAACCAGGTACCTGACCTGTCGGTCAGTGCCTGAGTTAGTCGATAAACCCACCCACAGTGAACAAGTACATGAGTAGCCCACCCACAAATAACAAGTGGCAAAGTAGCCCCCCCACAATAAACAGTACTGGCCGGTAGGTTCCAGGTTGTAGGATAAAAATGCAGCATCCTCGGCCTTCCTGGTGCAGCTGGGCAAATAGCTGGTGGCACTTGGGGGGCAAAGGCCAGCGGTACTCTGCCCTGATGTCAGCTCTTGCGCTGGGATAGCCGGCAGAATGTCAAGCTCTGTACAAGGGTCAAAGGGAGGGCAGAGGCCAACTGCACTCTGCCCAGCTGCCAGCTCTTCCGCTGGTATAGGCTGCAGGACATCAGGCTCTGGACAAGGGACACAGGGAGGGCAGAGGCCGACTGCACTCTGCCCAGCTGTCAGCTCTTCTGCTGGGGTGCTGGGAACATAGTCCGGCTCAGTAGCCAGGGGAACATGGGAGTCAGTGGGGGTTAACATCTCCTCTGTTAACCCTGGGGCCAAGTTAGGAGTTAGCTGGGGAGGGGAATTCGTACTTACCCCCTCCTCCTGTTGTCCCTGTGAGGGTAGTTGGGGATCTGGACAGGCTGTCCAGCATCCCTGTAGGTCGGGCACGGAGACCACGGTCCCCTCTGCGCCATCTGGGAGAATGGTGTCTCCCCTTGGTAGGGTAAGCTGCCGCTGGGGAGATAGGGTGCTGTGCTCCTCTCCCTGAAACACAGTCTGCCGCTGGAGAGGGAGACCGCCTGTCTCCACTCCCATAACATTATCCTGCTGCTGGAGAGAGAGACCAACTGTCTCTGCTCCCGGTAGGACACACTGCTGCTGGGGGGGAAGGATGACACCTTCGGCCCCCTGGAATTCACACTGCCGCTGGGGAGGAAGGGCGACACCTTCGACTCCCTGTAATTCACACTGCTGCTGGGGAGGAAGGACGACACCTTCGGCTCCCTGTAACTTGCACTGCCGCTGGGGAGAGAGACCGGTTGTCTCTTCTCCCTTGTCAACACACTGCCGCTGGGGAGTCAGACCGACTGTCTCGACTCCCAGTGATGATGGTTGCTGCAGGGACGAGGGACCGACAATCTCCTCTCCCTGGGATGCTGTCTGCCGCTGGGGAGAGAGACCGGTTGTCTCCTCTCCCTTGACAACCCACTGCCGCTGGGGAGTCAGAGCGACTGTCTCAACTCCCAGTGATGATGGTTGCTGCAGGGACGAGGGACCGACAATCTCCTCTCCCTGGGATGCTGTCTGCCGCTGGGGAGAGAGACCGGTTGTCTCCTCTCCCTTGACAACCCACTGCCGCTGGGGAGTCAGAGCGACTGTCTCAACTCCCAGTGATGATGGTTGTTGCAGGGACGAGGGACCGACAATCTCCTCGCCCTGGGATGCTGTCTGCCGCTGGGGAGAGAGATCAATTGGCCACAGCCCCAATCTCCGCAATCGGAGCTCAAATTCCCATGCCGCTCGATTCTCCTCATCCAACTTGCGCATGGTTGCCAGAATCGCCTCTGTCGAAAGATTCGGGCCATATCTGGTTAACCGCCTCTTGACCTCCTCCCTGTAAGCGTCGCCCTCAAAGCGATAGGTCATGTTTGCTGTGAACAGGGGCGCTGTACGAATACTAGCGTTGCCCTCAAATTGTAATTCCAAATGTTACCGGTGCCTCTGCGCTGCTTCTCCTCGCACTAGGACGCCATCCCACCGCTGCCACCACTGTAACGGAACCGCTGGCACCCCGACCGGGTACCTTCCGCCGACGGATGCTCCTAGTGCTTTCCGAGGACTCCAAGCACTCTGCCTGACACCATAACCACTGCATACCCCACGAACCGCCGCAGCTTGGTTGGGGTCTCGCCGTCTCCACCCACTCTGGACCCAGGACCAGGGTCCAGCTTCCAGCAGGTCGACCTCTCTCCGAATTCCAGAGAGCAGGAACAGGAACAAGCTCTTAGCAGAGCTTAGTGATTATACCCTGGGGAGTATAGTGATTATAGCAATCCCCAGAGTGTAGTTTCTCCAATCCCCCAAACATGAGCCGAAACTTCATGAAGGTACAAGATGATCTGACTCCAGTGAGCGTTTATTACTCCTTATATACAAGTTTTCAGGTCAGAGGCACACCCTACTGGACCTGGTGGTAAACTGTGACAAAAGGGACACAAACCAATGGGAACACTAATTAACATGATAACACTCTCACATACACAATGAAATCCCTCCTCTCCATCCTGGAGATAATTGGCTTAAGGCACTGCAGTAAACTCAATTATCTCCAGGTACAGAAAATATCTACATTTAACACTAACAGCAAAAATACGTAAAAGTACATAAAAATACATAATTCTTATTTTATTACACAGAACCCCCACATTTAACCTATCCCCAGATAGCTCGGATCTGAGCGCCCAATCTAGGTGAACAGCGCTCAGATCCCATGAACAGAGTAGATTTTCCATGGGGTAAAGCATAGCAAGGGCTGTTGAGAAACCAAGGAGGGACAAAAGCAGTCAGTTCCAACTGGTTTGGCAGTGTGCCTGGGACAACACCCTGCTGTAGAACAATAGACAGGAAACGGGGGAGGGGAAGAAACACACCTTCCCATGGATTCAAATGGGAAGAAACTGTCTTTAGAAGCCAATAAGCCCCAAATAGTCTTTTTAAATGGCAATACACCCCAGGGCCATAGTCATGAGGAAGGAGGCTGGCAATCAGGCTCCTCCAAAAGCCAGGGCCAAAGGGCAGCTTGTGACCTAACAATCCAGGGACAAAAGGCATTTCATCACAGCACCCACCCCATCTGAAACAGTGAGGCGTTTTAATTGACTAAATTAGAAACCAGGTGAAAGCATTGCAGCATATATTGCAGAACTGTGCAGGCTGTCTGAAAATTACAATTTTGGTGCCAGTTTAGAATCCTTGTTAAGGGACAGGCTTGTGTGTGGGGTGCAAGATGAAGCACTGCAGAGGAGACTGCTTGCAAGACAGAATTTAACTTTTATTATTGTACAAGAGGAAGCGCTCGCAAATGAGGCTGCATATGTCCATTCAAAAGAGATACACTCCTCCTCCAACAAAGAGAACTCACCTGAAATAAATGTAGTGAAGAAGACTGATGTTAAATCAAAGGACTTTTCAACACGCACTGATGTCACAGCTCCATTTAAAGGAACTTGTTATAGTTGTGGTGGAAAACACAGGCGTAATACATGTCGTTTTCGAAATGCAGTTTGCAACACATGTAGACTTACAGGTCACATACAGACAGTTTGCCAAAGATAAGCCAGTGGAATTCAAACCCAATAAAAGAATGCGAATACAATACAAACCTCAGCGCACTCTGTTAATACTCCAAATACCATTTCAGATAGTGAAATGACTACAGGTTTTTACTCAAATGACTATATGAATAAAGTGGAAAATTTGCCATCAGGACTGAAGGTTTACACTGAAATTATGCTGCAAGGTGTTCCGTGCAAAATGGAAGTGCGCATATTTTTTGATTTCAGAAAATACATTTATGGGTTTGCAGATGACACAAAACTTTGTAAAATAATACAGTGTGAGCAAGATATTACTTTGCTGCAGAGGGATTTAGATAGACTGGGCACTCAAATTGCAGATGAAATTTAATGTTGAAAAATGCAAAGTTATCCACTTCGGCGTAAAAAATAAACACGAGCAACGTATACCCTTAAAGGAAGTGAATTAGGGATAACAACACACGAAAAGGACTTGGGAATTGTTATAGACAACAAACTATGCAACAATGTGCAATGTCAATCAGCAGTGGCCAAGGCCAGTAAGGTATTGTCATGCATGAAAAAGGGCATTCATTCTCAGGACGAGAATATCATTTTGCCTCTTTATAAATCACTGGTAAGACCCCATATTGAATATGCTGTGCAATTATGGGCACCTGTTCTAAAGAAGGATATTATGGCAGTAGAAAAAGTGCAGAGGCAGGCTACAAAATTAATAAAAGGAATGGAACATATCAGCTATGAAGAAAGGTTAACAAATTTAAACCTATTTAGTTTAGAAAAAAGTTGACTGAGAGGGGATATGATAACATTATACAAATATCTTTGGGGCCAATACAAACCATTGTGTGGAAATCTATTCACAAACCGGACTTTACATAGGACACGAGGCCATGCGTTCAGACTGGAAGAAAGAAGATTTCGTCTAAGGCAAAGGAAAGGTTTTTTTTACTGTAAGAACAATCAGGATGTGGAATTCTCTGCCTGAAGAAGTGGTTTTATCATAGTCCATACAGATGTTCAAACAGCTACTAGATGAATACTTGCAAAAACAGAATATTCAAGGATATAATATTTCAATGTTGGGTAATAACTGCTTGATCCAAGGATAAATCTGACTGCCATTCTGGGGTCAAGAAGGAATTTTTTTCCTAGCTTGTTGCAAAATTGTGCTTCAAACTGTTTTTTTTGCTTTCTTTTGGATCAACAGCAAAAAACAAATGTGAAGAAGGCTGAACTTGATGGACGCAAGTCTCTTTTCAGCTATGTAACTATGTAACTATGTAACATTGTTATGGCCTCATAATTCTCCTTCAATAGTACCTTGTGATATTCATCTGGTGGACTACAACAAACAGGCTGTGGATGTTAAAGGGCTTGTTTTATACCAGTAAAATATGGTAAATTCAGAGGACACTTACGTTTAATAATTACTAAGGGACAAAGAGCAAGTTTGCTAGGTAGAGAGTGGTTTGAACCCTTAGGAATTTCATTAACTGGAGTTAATAATGTATCCACAGATATTCCACAGAATGTGATTGATAAATTTAGTGCAGTTTTTGAAGAAGGTCTTGGCATGTTTAAAGGCCCTCCTGTTTCTTTTATATTAGATCCAACAGTACCCCCAATTCATATGAAGCCTCGCAGAATTGCATTAGCTCTCAGACCAAAAATAGATTCTGAGATTACACGTCTTGTGGAACAAGGTATACTTGAACCCGTAACACACCCAAAGTGGTGTACACCCATAGTTCCGGTGATGAAACCAAATGGTGATGTCAGAATCTGTGCTGACTACAAATGTACACTCAACAAAGCATTGCAAGAGCATCCCTATCAAATTCCAGCTGTTAATTAAATTCTTACTACTTTGGCAAAAGGAAAAGTATTTGCCAAATTGGATATGGCTCAAGCCTACCAGCAAGTTACCTGTGGATGATGAGGCTGCTGATGCACAAACAATAATAACACACAAAGGAGCTTTCCGAGCAAGACGTTTGCAGTTTGGAGTTTCCATTGCTCCTGGCATATTCCAGAATTTAATGGAGGACCTCTTATCTGGACTTCCAGGTGTAGTGACTTATTTTGATGATGTTCTTATTGGAGCATATTCTATACAGTCACTGGCTGCACAGCTACAACTTGTTTTACAATGTTTTCTTGATGCTGGTCTAAAACCTAAAAAAGAGGTGTGTTTTTGGTGTAAACTGCATGGAGTTCCTTGGATACCGAGTTGACGCACAGGGCATTCATCCAACTGATTCTAAGGTTGAAGCTATTGATAGAGCTCTGGTTCCAACAAACAAACAAGAACTACAAGCTTTCCAAGGGTTGCTTAATTTCTTTCATTCTTTCCTGCCTGATAAAGTCACTGTTGCTGAACCTCTGCATCGTCTACTAGACCAAGATTCTCCATGGAAGTGGACTGATGTTCATACTACCGCTTTCAGCGCTGCAAAAAAACTATTGTCTTCCGACAGTGTACTTGTACACTATGATTTGGAAAAACTGCTCAACCTCACCTGTGATGCTTCTCCATATGGCAAAGGGGCTGTATTGAGCCACACTTTGAGAAATGGGGTTGAGGCTCCTATTGTGTTTTATTCACAGACTTTATCTACTAAGGAGAGGAATTACGCCCAAATTGACAAGGAGGCTTTAGCTATTGTGTCCGGTGTAAAAAAGTTTCATGACTATTTGTATGGGCGGAGGTTTACTATTATAACAGATCATAAACCTTTACTGGTGTGTTCACCAGAAATACTCCCACTCCTCAAATTATTTCACCATGCATGCTCAGATGGTCCCTTATGCTGAATGCTTATGATTATGAGTTTAAGTATCGTCCTGGCAAGGATATCACACATGCTGATGGCTTAAGCCGATTACCTTTGCCTTCTCCTGACTTCCTTGTGTCTCCTATGTCTGAGGTCCTCATGTTGGAATTCATTCAAAACCCTCTGTTACATGCAAGTGACATTGCTTGTATGTCTGCCAAGGATCCTTTGCTGTCCCGTGTGCTAAACTGGGTTTGGAGGGGGTGGCCAAAATCAAAAGTGGAAGACAAGTTCAAACCATTTGTCGTGCGCCAACATGAATTATCTGCCTATAAAGGGTGCGTATTATGGGGAAACCGAGTGGTAATTCCAAATTCTGCTCTCCATGAAGGACATCCTGGAATAGTTTGCATGAAAGCTTTAGCTAGAAGTTATATTTGGTGGCCTAAAATGGATGAAGTTATTGAAAAGTGGGTGAAGAACTGTGTACCATGTCAATCCACTTGTCATGATCCACCTGAAGCCTCAGTACATCCAGGGCGGGCCTTAGGGGCACCGTGCGGCCGACACAGCTCCCACATGGCCGGCCAGGATAAAAATAAATAAATTGCAGCGGGGCTGAGCTTCCCGTGCGGCGGGGGTGGAGCTTCCTGTGCGGCGGGGGCAGAGCTAAATGTACCAGATAACTGCTGCAGGGGAAGAAGGAGTCTCTGCTTCCCCAACAAACAGTCTCCAGGAGCTGCACTGCCTCCGCAATGAACAGAGGTAACTATGTGTGATTGTCAGTGTGAGTGTGACTGTCTGCCTGTATGTTTGTGTGACTGTCTGCCTGTGTGTGTGTGTGTGTGTCTGTGTGTGTGTGTGACTGTCTGTGTTAAGACACCCCTGGTGTCTTTAAACGAAACCGCCGTTTAGTTAGCCTTCCCCTTTCGCAATACCAATAACTCCGTTCGCATAAACTGCAGTATACGAACCACCATCAGAGAAAGCGGTAATCTCCCGACCGGGATCCGTGAAAGGCTCCAAACTCCCGAACGGAAATCCACGAACTGCTGCTAGCCACCGAACAACCATATCCACCAAGCGGCTTTCGGTTCCAATAAGCAGTCTCTAAGCGCAAATAAGAAATCCCCCCAATAACGAGACAGAAGCTCCGCATTGAGGGTCAAACAGAATCTGGCTTTACTGTGGGCTACCTGCCCGTATTTATGCAGGTCTCCCACTTGGTGGACACTCCCCTAGGGGACCAAATGGGAGACTGGAATTACAGATAGACATGGGGACATTTCAGACATACAGATGTAACCTTTTTCCACAATGTAATATGGTTTCCTCCCCTCTGCCCAGGAGATAATTGATAAGTAATTCAATTATCTCCAGGATAAAGACAAATCGCCATCTTAAATACAATACCAGAAAATACATAAAAATACCTAACTTTAAAATAACCGAACATTTCCCATTCGCATCACATATCCCCAGATAGCCTGGATCTGAGTGCATATTATTGGCGAATAGCGCTCAGATCCCACACACATAGTTCAATCGCCATGGAGTCAAAGTCCTTACAGTCTTTCGGTATGCGATTGACTCCATGGGAAGGCTATCTGGGTTAAGTCCTTTCGTGGTCCCGAACGGCCGGTGTTTGTACGCTTCCATCAAGGCAGCCAGGCGACCCGTTGTTTCAGCGGTGTTCGGCAGAAAAAGTGTCCGTTTTTAGTTCCATGGAATCAGTGCCAAACACCGCTGGGCTTTCGTGTGTTTTAAAATGGCCGCTGCCTCGTGATCGACATACGAACGACGGCCACCCTGAATTCAGTTTAATTGAGAAGTGTCTGCGGTTAACCACAACGTTCTAATTGGGATCAAGAGGTTAACCAACAGCACACTTCTTATCCTGGGTGGCCATCCGTTCGGTGAATTTGTTCGGTGAAAACAGTCATTCGTATGGCTGGGCTATAGAAACAGCTATTTACACGAAAGGGGGGCAGAGATAGACGAGTCCACCACAATAGACAGACAGATGGTTCTGTCACAGTCTGCCTGTGTGTTTGTGTGTCTGTCTGCCTGTGTTTGTGTGTGTGACTGCCTGCCTGTGTGTGTATGACTGTCTGCCTGTGTGTGTGTGTGTCTGTGTGTGTGACTGTCTGCCTGTGTGTGTGTGTCTGTGACTGTCTGCCTGTGTGTGTGTCTGTGAGTGTGACTGTCTGCCTGTGTGTGTGTATGACTGTCTGCCTGTGTGTGTATCTGTGTGTGACTTTCTGCCTGTCTGTGTGTCTGTGTGTGTGTGTGACTGTCTGCCTGTGTCTGTGTGTGTATGACTTTCTGCCTGTGTGTCTGTGTGTGAGACTGTCTGCCTGTGTGTGTGTCTATGTCTGTGTGTATATGACTGTCTGCCTGTGTATATGTGTGTGTGACTGTCTGCCTGTGTGTGTGTGTGTGTGGGTATGACTGTGTGTGTGTGTGTGTGTGTGTGTGTGTGTTTGTGTGGTCATCTGCCTGTGTGTGTGACTGCCTGTCTGTGTGTGTGTGTGTGGATGTCTTCCTGTGTGTGTGGCCACCTGCCTGTGTGTGTGTCTGTGACTGTCTGCCGTGTGTGTGTGTCTGTGAGTGACTGTCTTCCTGTGTGTGTGTGACTGTCTGTGTGTGTGTATCTGTGTGTGACTTTCTGCCTGTGTGTCTGTGTGTGTGACTGTCTGCCTGTGTCTGTGTGTGTGTGGTGTCTGCCTGTGTGTGTATGTGTGTGTGTGTGTGTATGACTGTCTGCCTGTGTGTCTGTGTGTGTGACTGTCTGCCTGTGTGTGTTTCTATGTATGTGTGTGTATGACTGTCTGCCTGTGTATATGTGTGTGTGACTGTCTGCCTGTGTGTGTGTGGGTATGACTGTCTGTCTGTGTGTGTGTGTGTGTGTGTATGACTGTCTGCCTGTGTATGTTTGTGTGGCCATATGCCTGTGTGTGTTACTGCCTGTGTGTGTGTGTGTGTGTGTGGATGTCTTCCTGTGTGTGTATGGCCATCTGCCTCTGTGTGTGTGTATCTATCTGCCTGTGTGTATGTGTGTGGCCGTCTGTGTGGCTGCCTGTGTGTGTGGCTAACTGCCTGTGTGTGTGTGGCTGTCTGCATGTGTGTGTGTGTGTGTAAGACTGTATGTGTGGCTGTGTGTGTGTATGTGTGTAAAACTGTGTGTGTGTGGCTGTCTGCCCGTGTGTGTGTGTTTGGCTGTCTGCCTGTAATTGTGTGAAAGAGTGTTTATCTACCTGTAACCGTGTATGTGTGTTACTGCCTGTACCTGTGTGTTTCTGCCTGATCCTGTGTATGTGACTATCTGCCTGCGACTATGTGCATGTGGTGAATTTGACAGTGTATATGTATAACTGTGTGCATCTGACTGTGGGACTGTGTGCACATAACTCTGCAAAAATATACACCTGCATTCACACGTTTTAATGAATTAAATAACCATCACACACATCCGATAAACTCAGCACAAATATCACATATAACCAATACACGCATATCACACACTGTTAATACACCCATTACAAATATTACACACAGCCAACACATAGCATACATATTACACACAGTCATCACACGTATCACATACACAGACAACACAAACATTACATCATACATGGATGACGGGGGGAGGCGGACCTGAGTACATACTTGGGAAGTGACTAGGTCACCTTGGTTTTGTTTACATATAGATTTTGCTGGCCTTTTTCATGGACAGATGTTTTTTTAGTTGTTGACTCTTTTTCAAAATGGTTACAAGTTGTTCCAGTGACTACTGCTACCTCAGTCACAGTCATAAAGATTCTAAGGAGGCTGTTTGCTACACATGGCTTGCCAGATACAATTGTGTCTGATAATGGAACACAATTTACCTCATCAGAATTCAAATTTTTCATGTTACAATTGCACCATTTCACCCATCATCAAATGGTCAAGCTGACCATATGGTTCAGACTACCAAAGACTCATTGGAATCGTAGACTTGCAAATTTCCTTCTGCAACAACATGTGACACCATGCTCAAGCACTGATAGTAGTCCAGCTGAGCTCCTTATGAACTGGCATCTTAAAACTTGTCTGAATCGGTTACATCCTGATTTGACATCTGAGTTACAAGAGAAGCAAGAATTGCAATTCAATAAGAACTATAATGCTTCTACTGTGAGAATATTTGCACCTGACAGTGCTGTCTATGTCAGGAACTATGTTTCTGGGCCTGAATGGATACCTGCAAAAGTTATTGTGGCCACAGGACCTTTGTCATACAAAGTACAAATTCCATATGGTAGAATATTACAAAGGCATGTCGATCTGATTTGGGAACGGAGTGATGAGATTGTGCCTGCTGCCGGTCCCAGTCATACCGGGGTTTCTGTGATTCCAGATGATGTTGAACCACTGGATGATACAGGTCTCAGTTCTCCAGGAGTTGTTGTTGCAGAACCAGTTCTGTGCCATCCATCTGACAGAGCACAGGTAAAAGGGATGGGCACAACTGAAGGTCCAGGTGAAGAAGCTCCAAACATGGTTTTGGGACGCCCAAGAAGAAATATTTACCCTCCCCATTATCTCAAAGACTTTGAGGTCTAGGGGGGAGGAGTGTTATGTATTGGGGTGTTATGCAGTCCACTTTCCAGTAGATGGCAGCATAGTGAAGTTATGCACTTGTTCTGTTGTGTTAGTGTCTCTTGTGTTATGTAATTATGTGTGTGTACTGAAGTAAAGAGAAGTCCTATTTTACTACAATGTCTGAGAGCCATTTGTGAATATATAACATGCAAAAACCAAGGTATTACAAATGGGGTATTTCCAGGCTTTTTTAGTAGCCACATATGTCATAAACACTGGCCAAAGCTAGCATTCAGATTTGCTTATGTGTGAAAAATGCAAAAAACTAATTTGAACGCAAATTTTGGCCAGTGTTTGTGAATAAGTGGCTACTAAAAAAGACTGGACATACCCCATTTGCAATACCTTGGGTTGTCTGCTTTTGCAAATGGTAATTTTCATTCCCGAACTACCATACTGTTTTAAAGGCAAAATAACCAATCTAGCAAATTTCTTTGTGAAATAATTGAAATGTGAGCCTTGTATTCAGAGTTGAGCGAACCCAAATTGTAAAGTTCGGGTTCGTACCAAACCTAACGATTTTTGACCCCAAACCCGGACCCAGACATTTCAGTAACAGCTCGGGTTTTAGTTCGGTGTTCGGCGATTTAATTGCGCATTTTGAAAAGCTGCAGGGCAGCCAATCAACAAGCGTTTGACTCGTGTGCCCTTAGAAGCCATCACAGCCATGCCTACTAATGGCATGGCTGTGATTGGCCAGTGCAGCATGTGACCCAGCCTCTATATAAGCTGGAGTCACGTAGCGCCGCACGTCACATGAGCTCTTATTAGTGTAGGGAAAGGATGCTGCAGCTGTTAGGGACAGATTAGGAAAGAATTCTGGTGTTGAATGTGCAAACTACAGCGATTATTTTTGTGGGTGCTATACTACATTTTTGTACCCTGCCTTGAGCTGAGTGCCACAGAGAAATAAGCAATCAGTCTGTTTGTTAGGTGGGCGTCGGCGGTTATTTTTGCAAGTGCAGTGCACTTGCAACTGCATATGTGCCAGGCACATTACTTTAGTCCTGTTCTGGTAGCTCATTGGCAACATCTAGGCATTTTTAAACACTGCTGTGACATTGCAGTTTGACAAATTCACATTTTTTTTGTGCTAAAAAGTAAATTTGGGGCGTGCATTTCATATCTGAGAGTGAAACCGTCAAATACTGCTGTGACTAGTGATGCCGCGAACATAAAATTTTCGGTACGCGAACCGCGAACACGAACTTCCGCAAATGTTCGCGAACCGGGCGAACCCGGCGAACCGCCATAGACTTCAATAGGCAGGCGAATTTTAAAACCCACAGGGACTCTTTCTGGCCACAATAGTGGTTGAAGGGGGGGGAGGAGACCTACTCTCCTCCCCCCCGGCCCCCACCCGTGGGTGGCGGGTGGGGGCCATAAAGATAATGAGGGGGGACATACTGTCCTCCCCCTCTCCGGCCCCCACCCGTGGGCGGCGGGTGGGGGCCATAAAGATAATGAGGGGGGGACATACTGTCCTCCCCCTCTCCGGCCCCCACCCCTGGGCGGCGGGTGGGGGCCATAATGATAATGAGGGGGGGGCCTACTGTCCTCCCCCCCCCGGCCCCCACCCCTCGGCGGCGGGTGGGGGCCATAAAGATAATGAGGGGGGGACCTACAGTCCTCCCCCTCTCCAGCCCCCACCCCTGTGCGGCGGGTGGTGGCCCTAAAAATAACAATAAGGGGGGGACCTAATGTCCCCCCCGGCCCCCACCCCTGAGCGGTGGGTGGGGGCCCTAATAACAATAAGGGGGGACCTATTGTCCCCCCGTCCCCCACCCCTAAGCAATGGGTGGGGGCCCTAAAATTAACAATAAGGGGGGGACCTACTGTCCCGCCTGGCCCCCACCCCTGAGCGGTGGGTGGGGACCCTAAAGAACAAATAAGTAAGTGACCTATCGTCTTCAGCCCCCAAACCCCTGAGCCGGGTGGGTGGTGGGGCCCTGGGGGCTCATCATTGCTGGGGGACCCGGCCGTCCCCTGGCCCCCACCCTGAGCCAGTGGGTGGGCCCCTGTACCATCAACAAGGGGGACCTATTTCCGCCCCCACCCCTGAGCGGTGGGTGGGGGCCCTAAAAATAACAATAAGGGGGGGACCTACTGTCCCCCCCCGGCCCCCACCCCTGAGCGGTGGGTGGGGACCCTAATAACAATAAGGGGGGGCTTATTGTCCCCCCCGGCCCCCACCCCTGAGCGGTGTGTGGGGGCCTAAAATTAACAATAAGGGGGGGACCTATTGTCCCCCACCCGGCCCCCACCACTGAGCGGTGGGTGGGGGCCCTAAAATTAACAATAAGGGGGGGACCTATTGTCCCGCCCGGCCCCCACCCGTGAGTGGTGGGTGGGGGCCCTAAATACAAAGGGGGGGGACCCTAGTCACCCCTCCCCCCCCCAAAAAAAATGATCTCCCTACCTACCCCCCTCACCCTAAAAATAATGGGGGGGGGACCTTTAACTAAAAACCTGTAAAAAAACATTTGATAAAAATAACTTACCATTTGATGTTTTCTTTCTTCTACAATCTTCTTTTTTCAGCCCCAAAAAAGGCCAAATAAAAAGCCATAAGAACCGACGCAACAAAAAAAAAAACGAGCGCACAAAAAAATAATCCATCTTCACCCATGGAGGGCTCCACGCAAACTGAGCTCTGCAGGGCGGGGAAGGCTTATAAAGCCTTGCCACGCCCTGCAATTAGGCTAAGAACACTCTGATTGGCTGTTTTAAGCCAATCAGAGTGCTCTTTGTCATTTTACACACATTTTATGTATTTTATGTTATTTTAAGTTATTTCCCTATCCACATTTGTTTGCAGGGCACTTGTCCTACTCTTACCCCCATTTTACTTCCTTTTGCAGCCCTCTAGCCCTTTCCAGGACTTTCTTAGAGCTATTTTAGTGCCCAAAAGTTTGGGTCCCCATTGACTTCAATGGGTTTCGGGGTTAAGCTCGGGTCAAGTTCGAGTCCCGAACTCGAACTTTTGCCGAAGTTCGGCCGAACCCGGTGAACTCGAACATCCAGGTGTCTGCTCAACCTATATTTGACTCTGTAACTTTTTAAAAAATCATAAAACCTGTACATGGGGGGTACTATTATACTCGGGAGACTTCGCTGAACACAAATATTAGGGTTTCAAATCAGTAAAATGTATCACAACATTGCCCCCCCGGCCCCCAACCCTAAACGGCGGATGGGGGCCCTAAAGTAAAATGGGGGGGACCTATTGTCCTGCCCCCGCCCCCACCCATAAGCGGTGGGTGAGGGCCCTAAATTAGAACAAGGGGGGGACCTATTGTCCTCCCCACCAGCCCCCATACCTGAGCGGCGGGCCCTAAATTAGAATAAGGGGGACCTAATGTCCTTCCCCTTGTCCCCCACTCCTAAGCGGTGGGTAGGGGCCCTAAATACTAATAAGCCTAGTCAAAGCCCATACCTCAATCCAATAGAAAATCTGTGGTCAGACTTAAAGATTGCTGTTCACAAGCACAAACCATCCAACTTGAAGGAGCTGGAGCAGTTTTGCAAGGAAGAATGGGCAAAAATCCCAGTGGTAAGATGGGGCAAGCTCATAGAGACTTATCCAAAGCGACTTGGAGCTGTGATTGCCGCAAAAGGTGACTCTACAAAGTATTGACTTTAGGGGGGTGAATAGTTATGCACATTGACTTTTTCTGTTATTTTGTCATATTTGTTTGCTTCACAATAAAAATAAAAAAAATCTTCAATGTTGTGGGCATGTTCTGTAAATTAAATGATGCAAATCCTCAAACAATCCATGTTAATTCCAGGTTGTGAGGCAACAAAACATGAAAAATGCCAAGGGGGGTGAATACTTTTGCGAGGCACTGTAGGTCTACAATCTTGTCCCTGAAATCCTTGGACAGCTCTTTGGTCTTGGCCATGGTGGAGAGATTGACTGCTTCTGTGGACAGGTGTCTTTTATACAGATAACAAGCTGAGATTAGATGTCCTCCCCCTGGCCCCCACCCCTGAGCGGCCGGTGGGGGCCCTAAATAAAAATGTAACACCCCCCAGGTGACTCCCCTCCCCAAAACAACTAAGCCCTAACTACCCCCCTCACCCTAAAAAGAATGAGGGGGGGGGCATTAACTAAGTACCTGTAAAAAAAATAAAACTTACCATTTGATGTTTTCTTTCTTCTAAAATCTTCTTTTTTCAGCCCCCAAAAAAGGCCAGATAAAGCCCTCCCCAAAACAACTAAGCCCTAACTACCCCCCTCACCCTAAAAATAATGAGGGGGGGGGGCTTTAACTAAGTACCTGTAAAAATAAATAAAACTTACCATTTGATGTTTTCTTTCTTCTAAAATCTTCTTTTTTCAGCCCCCAAAAAAGGCCAGATAAAAATCTATAATAACCGATGCACTTAAAAAAAATAAGGCACAGGCTGCTCACTGTTTAATAGACATGCCCCTACGCGCGGTATAACGAGTAGAGGCAAAATGTACTAATACTAAGTAATTTTTACTTAGTATTAGTAAATTTGGCTGAAAGACCAATTTAGGTCTTTCAGCCTTTTGGTAGATAACCCCCTAATACCGTGGGAATTAGGGAGTATCTACTAAGCGGCTGCAAGAGAAGTCCCGAAGTGCCGAAATTCCGAAGTGTCGAAGTGCTGAAGTTGATGAAGTTCTGAAGTGTCGAAGTGCCCTAGTGGCGAACCGGACCGCCGAAGTCCCGAATTGCCGAAGTCCCTAATTTCGGAATGCCGAACCGAACCGAACTGAAAATATTCCCCATTCACATGCCTAGTATAAACACACACACACACACACACAATATAAACAATTATATTACACACACACTGCACCTATAATGGGTACAGGGTGACTAAAACATAAGAAAAGTAAAGCAACCTACATAAATAGTCTGTCTGAAGGTCCAGGTGATGGGGACTACTGTCACATCAACAAATAATTAATAGCAGCTACATCACCAACAAATAATTGATAGCAGCTACTACACATGTGTAAATACCCTCAATTTTACACAAAATCATGTAATAAAACAGTTATCCAAGTGGAACCAATCCACTACAAGTGAACCCAGTGGAGCGCTACATATGTACACCGTTATAAAAAAGGGAAGAGTGGTAAATGGTGAAGATATTTACTAGGACAAAACAAAGAAGACAACAAAATATAGAGCAGTATGTTTCAAAATACTGTGCCTTACAAAAGTATTCACCCCCCTTGACTTTTTACCTATTTTGTTATATTACAGCCTTAAGTTCAATGTTTTATTAATCTGAATTTAATGTGATGGATCAGAACACAATAGTCTAAGTTGGTGAAGTGAAATAAGAAAAATATATACATAAAACTATTTTTTAGAAAAGGAAAACAGAAAATTGGCATGTGAGTATGTACTCACCCCCTTTGTTATGAAGCCCATAAAAAGCTCTGGTGCAATTTAAGAGTCACATGATCTGTCATTACAAATACACACCTTTTTTGAAAGGCCCCAGAGGCTGCAACACCTAAGCAAGAGGCACCACTAACCAAACACTGCCATGAAGACCAAGGAACTCTCCAAACAAGTAAGGGACAATGTTGTTGAGAAGTACAAGTCAGGGTTAGGTTATAAAAAAAATATCCAAATCTTTGATGATCCCCAGGAGCACCATCAAATCAATCATAACCAAATGTAAAGAACATGGCACAACAACAAACCTGCCAATAGATGGCCGCCCACCAAAATTAATCAGAGAGGCAGCACAGAGACCTAAGGTAACCCTGGAGGAGCTGCAAAGTTCCAGAGCAGAGACTGGAGTATCTGTACATAGGACGACAATAAGCCGTATGCTCCATAGAGTTGGGCTTTATGGCAGAGTGGCAAGAAGAAAGCCATTACTTTCAGTAAAAAACAAAATGGCACGTTTTGAGTTAGCGAAAAGTCATGTGGGAGACTCCCAAAATGTATGGAGGAAGGTGCTCTGATTTGATGAATCTAAATTGAACTTTTCGTCCATCAAAGAAAACGCTATGTCTGGCGGAAACCCAACTTATCACATCACCCAAAGAACACCATCCCCACAGTGAAACATGTTGTGGAGATGTTTTTCAGCAGCCGGGACTGGGAAACTGGTCAGAGTTGAGGGAAAGATGGATGGTGCTAAATACAGGAATATTCTTTAGCAAAACCTGTACCACTCTGTGTGTGATTTGAGGCTAGGACAGAGGTTCACCTTCCAGCAGGACAATGACCCCAAATACACTGCTAAAGCAACACTTGAGTGTGTTAAGGGGAAACATGTAAATGTGTTGGAATGGCCTAGTCAAAGCCCATACCTCAATCCAATAGAAAATCTGTGGTCAGACTTAAAGATTGCTGTTCACAAGCACAAACCATCCAACTTGAAGGAGCTGGAGCAAGGAAGAATGGGCAAAAATCCCAGTGGTAAGATGTGGCAAGCTCATAGAGACTTATCCAAAGCGACTTGGAGCTGTGATTGCCGCAAAAGGTGACAATACAAAGTATTGACTTTAGGAGAGTGAATAGTTATGCACATTGACTTTTTCTGTTATTTTGTAATATTTGTTTGCTTCACAATAAAAATAAAAAAAATCTTCAATGTTGTGGGCATGTTCTGTAAATTAAATGATGCAAATCCTCAAACAATCCATGTTAATTCCAGGTTGTGAGGCAACAAAACATGAAAAATGCCAAGGGGGGTGAATACTTTTGCAAGGCACTGTAGGTCTACAATCTTGTCCCTGAAATCCTTGGACAGCTCTTTGGTCTTGGCCATGGTGGAGAGATTGACTGCTTCTGTGGACAGGTGTCTTTTATACAGGTAACAAGCTGAGATTAGAAGCACTCCCTTTAAGAGAGTGCTCCTAATATCAGTTCGTTACCTGTGTAAAAGACACCCGGGAGCCAGAAATCTTGCTGATTGATGGGGGATCAAATACTTAATTTACTCATTGACATGCAAATCAATTTATATTTTTTTTGACATTGCCGCACAAAAGTATATATTTATTTATATAAGACGTTCCCGTGTATCCCGGAATATTATATCTTTTTCTTATCACCCCGTACACTCACGACGCTAGAGACGGCCCTGTTTTGCCACTTAGTCATGGCGGCTTCCCAACTAATCCCTAAACTTTGGAAGCAATCCAGGCCACCTTCAATTCGTGCATGGATACTGAGAGTTGATGATATTAAATTGATGGAAGAAATCACCTCAGCTAAAATGGGAAAACAAGTTAAATTCTTGTCCATATGGGACCCATGGATTCATCACATGCACTGCAACCCTCCCCCACCAAAATAGACTGACCTAACACATACCTTTATCCTCATCAAAAATACAAGCCCTATTCATAAACTTCTGCCTCTCCCACCATCATACCACTGCAGCTTTCTCTTCCGCCCCTTCCTCCCTGGTTGAGGTTGGTGGGAGTTGAAAGTAACCGATTGACAAGACACGTACAACCGTCACTCAATCTTGCTTCCCTGAGGGGACAGCAAGGTACCATCCCCTACTTTTATACACCCGCTTTTCTTTCCATATACTCAATAGTCCTCCGCCGAGCCTAGGTTTTCCGACCCACAGAGGGGAATTATCCCTTTAGATACACATGAAGCGTCCCAGTATAGACCGGGTCTCAGGGTATTGCACTAATGTAATGGTTCCTTTCAATTATTTATTGCTATAGTATTTTTGCTTGTTATGTTATCCTTTCAATTGCCTCATTTACCACTATTTCCTTTTTGTGGTGATGACTCTACTACAACATGTACCTTCCACTATGTGATATTTTAGTACTGTTTAAAATAGTGAAATACCGAACTTGTAACCTTAATGTAATCTCGCTGTACCAAAACTTATGTTTACCTATGTCAAACATACAAAACAATAAAAAGATAAATATAAAAAAAAAAGTATATATTTATATGAAGCATACATCACAGGCTATTTACCAAAGGGTATTCTGACACTTTTTACATAGCCATTTCGCCACCAATCTCTGCTAAATAGTGTAGTAAAATTGTGTTTTTTTCAGATTTCTAACATACACACATAAAACAAGGATTTTTTATGTGTATTTCATAAAGCTGGTATATACTACTGCTGTAGAAAACCTCATGTTGTTTTCAGCCATATCAACTGAGTAAAACAATACCCCCAATCTATGCCTTTGCCACTATACTGTGAAATTACAGTGTCATAAATGAGACCTGACCATTTCAGTTTTACAGTGATAATTTTGATAGATGAATTTGATGGCAGCAAGTCTCATTTTGGGGCATTTTAGCAGTTTAACTGTTGAATTCATCCCTCAAGGACATACCATTGGTGAAAGTAGACACTACAGTGTATCACATATGGTGTATATTGTGCCTTAACGTGATGCCATTTTTTCACCAGTTTATGTCAAACAGTTTTTTACATACATGTTACATTTTTTGGGGGTCATTTTTCAAGTCTGGTATGTGCCACTGTGATCAAAACCCCATAATTATGCTCGCCATAATAAAAGCAATACCCCCAATGTATGTCTTTGCCACTTTCCCGTGAAGCTACAGTGCCTTAAAAGAGTCCTGACCATTACAGTTTTTACAATTAGAATTTTGATAAATGGATTTGATGTGTCTATATCACATTTAAGGCAAAGAAGAAAGACTCACAGGCACTCCGAATTCAAGCCGCAGGCAGTTTTATTGTAACAGAATGTAATGCAACATTTCGACTGTAAAGGTCTTTTTCAAGCTTGACAAAGACTGTGTAGGTCGAAACGTTGTGATGGAGTGGGTTCAATAAAATTGCCTTACTTGTACCTTGGAGTGCCTGGACCTTTCTTCTATTTGTTATTTAGCATTTGGTCTCTGGTACTGAGACTGTCCGAGTTGCACCCAGCTACATACTGCTTAAAGGGATAGAGTGCAGTTCCACACCCTACCATAACTACTTCTGAATTGTGAGTACCATTGGAAATTTGCACCTCCCTAACAATTTTTGTATTGGCTACATTTATGGCTATTTGACTGCAAATATTTTTAGTGCAAATCTATAATTTTAATCAGTTTACTAATTTTTTGGCATAATGGAACCCATGATCCAGCCCAGCACAAGCTTTTATGTCTATTTGGATGAAGGAACGAGGCGAATTTTATCTGCTGCAGAAAGTATTTTTGAACTTTTTAATACACCAAGTGGGCAAACTATAATTAAAGAGTTGGTAAAAGCCTTAAAGAGAAAAAATATGAGCTTTACATTGCACAGTGATTATGTTTAAATGAAATGTATACCAAGGGGGACGTGTATGTAAGCACAACCTATTTCATTGAAGGATAATATTGAATATTGTACAAGGCTTGAGGGAATTTTGAATAAATGTTCCATGGTCTGGATATTATTAAATCTGGAATTTCTACAAAGCTCATCTATTAAGAAAAAAGAGCAAATCAAAATAGAAAAGTAACTTCCAATCCAACATTAGGTTTAATTCTTCACAAGAAAATCGATCCAGTAACAGTTCAGTGTATTTTGTTTCAGAAGAAACTCCCAGGGGATTGTTCAGCGGAGAAACATTGGAAGAATCCGAAGGGGTGGCCATAAGTAGCAGGAATTTGCCAGCAATATGGACAAACAAAGGCCCTCAGAAGATGAAGAAACAATAATCAACTTATCAGAAATTTTGTCTAAAGACGATACTATAGCTTTAAGAAAAGATTTGACTTTTTGTCTTACTTATATTTCAAATGCTATAGATAATTTAGTTTTGTGTAGATTCTTCCGTAATGTGAAGTTAAAAGTATTCTTTAGCAAACTGCTGCTTTCTACTGATCTGAATATACCATGTAATGTAATATTAAGATTAAGTGATACAAAAGTTCCTTTAATCCATCTATTACTAATCATGCAGTTGAAACTTTTATTAACTTGGTGAGTTAAGATGTAGATAATCCTGTCCAACGTATACACACCCTAATATTTTAATAAAAGCTCCATAAAAAGCTTTAAAAATACTATTAAAGCAGGATTTGGTCTAAAAACCAGCTGAAAGGGGTGGTGTTATAGTGATGCTGGACATGATTGATTACATCATAGAGTTAAACAGTCAATTAATGGGGACAGACACATAAGGCTATTTTTTACGAAAATTAAGGGGTTAAGAAAAGTAAAGATACAGAGTAAAAAGATAAAGATATACAGCAAAAAAAAAATGAAAAGGAATTTAATCTTTGGAAAAAGCAATGTTCATGTTCAGAAAATATTGCTATTCATAGCTGGGTGTAACTAGTCAATGAAGTGAAGGACCTAATGATGCTCTTGAACACTGCAAGCTAAACTGCATTTAAAAAAACACAAAAAACTTTTGTGATGGGATTTCAATATGGTTCAAAATTTAGTAGAGTGTGTATTTTCCTCTCCACAGCGTATATGAAAGACACAGAATCACCGAACTAAGTGTAGCATCCTTTTATAAAATTTCTTATATATTAAATAATGAAAGTGCTCACCTTGTTTAGAGCCTTTGATAACTGGCTCTAAGTATATAAGTCTAGTGTCAAATTGTGGGGTGACACTGCCCCTTCCCTGGAATCACTGGTGCTGGATACAGTAGATTATATAAAATAAGGAAATTTATTGAAAAATATATAAAAACAATTAAAAGAATTATTTCTAGAAAATAAAAAAATGAAATAAGAACAAGATATTATAAGTATTGGTGGTCTTTAGAAAAGATAGTGAGTCCACTTTAAAAGCCAAAACGCGTTTCGCCGGTAAAAACGACTTCCTCAGTCAGCTTGTAAATTTCCTCTGGATGTCCTCTGTTTTGAGCGTTCAAAGTCCCGCCGAAAATGTCGTCCTCCAATCGTGTGAATCCTTGTGTCACGTGACGCGGCTGAAAAGCCGTCGCGTCACTTCCGGGTTTGCGGTACTACAGAGTCCATAGTGCTTTGCGCTCAGCGCAGCACTTCCGGTTTTCGTCCGGTCTTTCACAGGGAGTTGGGTCCGCAGTGGGAACTTTTGTCAGTCTATATTAGAGCCTCTTTAGGCTCATACACAATTTAAAAATAGAAAGACATGTATAATTAACAATTGTAATATATTATTCTAGTTACACATCATATGTAAAAAAGCAAATATATTTAAACTTATTGTTTCCTTTTTACACAGTTATGTGCAAAAGCATGCAAACCTTATAAAAAACTGACATAAAAAATAAAACAAAATAGAAGGGGAAAAGGTGACTTGTGTTTAGGAAGTGCATTGTGATGACACTCAGTTTGAATAAACATATGATTTCAACTGCTAATTTCTTTACCAAAAAATATGCAGAATTGTGTAAAATAGATACACTTGCTTTTATATTATTTAAAGCAGAAGTTACTCATATATAAAAAACATGCAGTATAGCAGACCCAGTGAGAGGCAAAGGGTTCTATAAGAAGTGACATAACTCAAAATCAGCATTTAACCCCATAGGTGCTAAAGTGTTGAGATTAAAAATCCATTTAGTTTCGATTTTTCCCAGTTTTTTAATTTCGTCTTCCCCTCTCCAGTTAAGTGTAATTTTCTGGATGGCCATGAAATCTAAAAATTGTGGGTCTTTATTATGCATTAAACTAAAATGTTCTGAAACACTGTGTTTGTCGTATCTTTTCCTGATGTTTCTAATATGTTTATTTATTCGTATTTGTAAAGGACGTTTTGTTCTACCTACATAAAATAAGTTACAATGACACTTTAAAATATATATGACCCTCTTAGAAAAACACGTAATCATTTGACGTATCTTGTAATTTTTTTCCCCTTTTGGGTCATAAAATTCTGTAATGTGTCTTTTTGTACTATTTGTGTTTCTGCAAGCTAGACACTGTCCACAGCCAAAAAAACCTTCTTTCTGGAAGAAGGGGGTAGATGCATTTTCTTTTATATGGTTGTGTATTAATTTTTGTTTTAGATTGGGAGCTCCTCTGTATATTAATTTCGGTCTCTCTGGTAATATGGAATGTAGCATAGGATCATTCCTAAGCATGGGCCAGTGTTTATTTATTATTCGTTTAATTTTATGACTTTCTTGGTTGAAATTACTGATAAATGGTAAGTTTATGTTTTCCTTTTGATTTTTAGGTTTGTATTTTAATAACGAGGATCTTTCCATGATCTTAACTTCCTCAATGGTATTATTAAGAGAGGTTTCCTCATATCCTTTTTCCAAGAAATCTTTTTTAATTTTAATGGCCTGGACCTCAAAAGTACTCTGATCAGTACAATTTCTACGGACCCTCATAAGCTGTGCTTTAGGTATATTTTTTAGCCAAGGTGAAAAATGGCAACTATTCAAGTATATATAATTATTTACATCTACTGGTTTAAAAAAGGTTTTGGTTTTAATACTTTAATACTGTGGCTAAAAAATATACCTAAAGCACAGTCTTCTATAAAAATAGTTAGATCTAAAAAATTGACACTGTCTTGGCTGTATTCTGTAGTTAATGTCACTCCCCAATTGTTAGTATTTAAAAAGTTTAAAAATGATTTTAAAAGATCCACTGAACCATTCCAAATTAAAAAAATATCATCTCTGTATCGCTTATAGGAGACAAGGTTCGCTCTCCTACTAAATAAAGGAAAAGAAATAGAAATACTCAGTGAAAAGGAGTATAGATATATAAATATTAATAAACCAAAAATCCCTGTTTTTTATCACCTTCCTAAAATTCATAAACATTTAACTAATCCTCCAGATAGACCGATAGTCTCAGGGATAGACTCTGTATCCAGTAGGCTATCGGAATACCTGGATAAATGTCTACAACCTTTGGTCCAAAAAACTCCAAATTATCTCAAAGATACACTCAATATCATACAAACACTACAACATATTCAATGGGAACCCAACTATATTTTAGTAACAGCAGATGTAAGTTCACTGTATACGATTATCTCACACACGAAAGGACTGGAAGCCGTAGAGTTCTTTCTAAAAAAGGATAATACTTACCCTGAGGAACAAATAAGTTTTATTATGGAAGGAATACATCTTATCCTTCATAACAACTATTTTTGGTTTAATAATGAATTCTTTTTACAAAAAGTCGGTACTGCTATGGGGACAAGGTTCGCTCCAAGCTACGCTAATTTATTTATGGCCTACTGGGAAACACAATTTATAGATAACAATTTAGAATGGAGAGCGAACCTTGTCTCCTATAAGCGATACATAGATGATATTTTTTTAATTTGGAATGGTTCAGTGGATCTTTTAAAATCATTTTTAAACTTTTTAAATACTAACAATTGGGGAGTGACATTAACTACAGAATACAGCCAAGACAGTGTCAATTTTTTAGATCTAACTATTTTTATAGAAGACAATAGTATTAAAACCAAAACCTTTTTTAAACCAGTAGATGTAAATAATTATATATACTTGAATAGTTGCCATTTTTCACCTTGGCTAAAAAATATACCTAATGCATAGCTTATGAGGGTCCGTAGAAATTGTACTGATCAGAGTACTTTTGAGGTCCAGGCCATTAAAATTAAAAAAGATTTCTTGGAAAAAGGATATGAGGAAACCTCTCTTAATAATACCATTGAGGAAGTTAAGATCATGGAAAGATCCTCGTTATTAAAATACAAACCTAAAAATCAAAAGGAAAACATAAACTTACCATTTATCAGTAATTTCAACCAAGAAAGTCATAAAATTAAACGAATAATAAATAAACACTGGCCCATGCTTAGGAATGATCCTATGCTACATTCCATATTACCAGAGAGACCGAAATTAATATACAGAGGAGCTCCCAATCTAAAGCAAAAATTAATACACAACCATATAAAAGAAAATGCATCTACCCCCTTCTTCCAGAAAGAAGGTTTTTTTGGCTGTGGACAGTGTCTAGCTTGCAGAAACACAAATAGTACAAAAAGACACATTACAGAATTTTATGACCCAAAAGGGGAAAAAAATTACAAGATACGTCAAATGATTACGTGTTTTTCTAAGAGGGTCATATATATTTTAAAGTGTCCTTGTAACTTATTTTATGTAGGTAGAACAAAACGTCCTTTACAAATACGAATAAATAAACATATTAGAAACATCAGGAAAAGATACGACAAACACAGTGTTTCAGAACATTTTAGTTTAATGCATAATAAAGACCCACAATTTTTAGATTTCATGGCCATCCAGAAAATTACACTTAACTGGAGAGGGGAAGACGAAATTAAAAAACTGGGAAAAATCGAAACTAAATGGATTTTTAATCTCAACACTTTAGCACCTATGGGGTTAAATGCTGATTTTGAGTTATGTCACTTCTTATAGAACCCTTTGCCTCTCACTGGGTCTGCTATACTGCATGTTTTTTATATATGAGTAACTTCTGCTTTAAATAATATAAAAGCAAGTGTATCTATTTTACACAATTCTGCATATTTTTTGGTAAAGAAATTAGCAGTTGAAATCATATGTTTATTCAAACTGAGTGTCATCACAATGCACTTCCTAAACACAAGTCACCTTTTCCCCTTCTATTTTGTTTTATTTTTTATGTCAGTTTTTTATAAGGTTTGCATGCTTTTGCACATAACTGTGTAAAAAGGAAACAATAAGTTTAAATATATTTGCTTTTTTACATATGATGTGTAACTAG